CCCGCTGACAAGCCCGCTGACAAGCCCGCTGACAAGCCCGCTGACAAGCCCGCTGACAAGCCCGCCGAGGATAAGACTCCGGCCAATGGCAACACTCCCGCTGAAGAGAAGACGCCCGCAAAGGCCGATACTCCTGGCAAGGAGAAGACGCCGGCTGATGGGAAGACTCCCGTCAAAGACAACACGCCGGCCAACGGTAACACTCCCGGCAAGAGTGACGTCCCGGCTGACAAGCCCAAGGAGAACACGCCCGCAGGAAAGGATCAGGAACCGAAGAAGGACGTAACCACCCCTGCCAAGGGCGCCGACACACCCGCGAAGGGTAACACCCCGGCCAAGGGCAATGAGCCGGCCAAGGAGAGCACGCCTTCCGATAAGCCCAAGGAGGACACCCCCACAAAGGGCGACACTCCCGCCACTCCTGTGAAGGAAGACCCCAAGAAGGACGAGGCCAAGAAGGATGAGCCCAAGAAGGAGGGCACCACTCCAGGCAAGGACGAGCCGAAGAAGGAAGGCACGATCCCAACCAAGGAAGACCCAAAGAAGGATGACAAGGCGCCTGAGAAGAACACGCCCGCCACACCTGCCGATCAGCCCAAGAAGGACGACACTACGCCTGCCGACCAGCCCAAGAAGGATGACAAGGCGCCTGAGAAGAGCACGCCCGCCACACCTGCCGACCAGCCCAAGAAGGACGACACCACGCCTGTCGACCAGCCCAAGAAGGATGACAAGGCGCCTGAGAAGAGCACGCCCGCCACACCTGCCGAACAGCCCAAGATGTACGACACCACGCCTGCGAAGGAAGACCCCAAGAAGAACGATGCCACTCCCCAGGAGCCCAAGAAGGATGACACCACGCCCGCTACTCCTCCCAAGCAGGATGAGCCCAAGAAGAGCGAGCCCGCTAAGGAGCAACCCAAGGAGGTCACGCCCGACAATAAGGCCGTGAAGCAGCCTGACGCGCCCAAGAAGGACCCTGAGCCGACTCCTGAGCCCAAGAAGCCCGAGGAGAAGAAGCCCGAGAAGTGCTCAACGGCCACATCGACAACATCAACAACGACGACGGTATCGAGCCTGACGGCGCCTCAGACCAAGACGGCCACCGCCAACTGCGTCGCCACTGTCACCGTCGAGAAGCCTTGCGAGGACCCGACTGGGTGGAACTGGGCCCACTACCCCAACGAACGCCTTCGTAGTGACTCGAAGCTTCTCCCTGAGGAACTCAAGAAGCGCAACCCAGACGACCAAGGAGTCACGCAAAGGGTAGGATGGCGTGCCACGACTTTCGATAAGGGAACCAAAGATACCTTCTACGACTCCAAGAAGCCCGTCGACTCTGTGGGTTACGCCCTCAACCACGACGCCTACTTCAAGGTGCCCAAGACTGGTAAGTACCACTTCACCGTTGGCCACGCCGATGGAGAAGCATGGTTGTGGGTGGGTGACAAGGCTGCCGCTGGCTACGACAAGGACAATGCGAATGCACGGGGATACTTCGACGGGGCCACGCTCAAGTCCGTGCCTGGCTATTACGAGGCCTCCCTCAAAGAGGGCGACCTGGTTCCGGTTCGCGTCATCCAGACCAACGAGGCCGACGGTGGATATGGAGGCTTCTCCCTCGAGGTGACCAACGACCGTTACCAGCCGGTGCCAGACTCTGCCTTCATTCGTTCGAGCTGCCGCGCTCCCTTCAATGGCGGCAAGGGCCAGCCCTTCGCTGCCTTTGGCCAAGAGTCGTAGGCCTACGATCAACAAGGACAGGACTATCGGTATGCATGCTTTCCCGTTCATCGTTCCCTCCGCGTGTACCATTCACGCTTCTCCCGCTGCTTGTACCATTCGCTTTCTTCTTACTTTCGATCCGACTTCAGTGTGAGTCGCCACCTTTAATTTCCGGAACTATTGCCCTTTATTTTATTCGATTGCTGCTCTCAACTTTCAGCGCGTGAAGTGAGCATCCCTAGCGCCGACCCTGCTCAAATCTAGACTGACAGAGGATCGAAGTAGCCATGGGCCGGTCACCCTCGACTTGACCAGTCCGACGCCAGCATCTCGATGTGAATGCAAGCCCCGCCGCCGCTGACTCTTGAGCGCGACAATCGCGCACAAAGCACGTAGGAGACGTTCCGCCCCACTCTACGCGCGGTGTCTCGCCTAGGCTCCCGCGCCAGACATCCCCGCTAACGCAATCACCCTCCGCAGCGAGCGTATCCGCCCTCGAACGGGCGTTGCTCGGCAACACACTGCGACCGCAGCACAATGGCATATGACACGCTGGCAAAATGCAGCGCTGCGACGCCTGAGCGCAGCCATGCAGACGACACTGAATCAGCCAAGCAGCAGCGCAGCTGCGCGTTGTCGTGCGTTCAATCTCTCGACAAGGAAAAGTTGTAGAGCTGAAGACAACCTCTGCTGTTGTATTGCGGCGCTGCAAATGACATCAACGCCCTCGCCGCATAGCACGCCGCGCCACCAGGGCACATTTTCGATCGTCTCAAAAAAGGTGATTGGCACGCGCGACAAGACTGATGTGAGCTGAGCAATGCAGACATCACCGCAGCTGAGCACAGCACACTTCGCGGCGAATCAAGTGTGTCGAGGAAGGGCCGACAAAGAGACAAGTGGGTCTCATCGCTGTCCTGGGCTGGTCTGAGACGACTCGAGCTCGAGACAGGCAGAGACGGTGCTTCTCCATGTCGCTGCTGCCGAGCGATCACCGGCAAGCAGCGCACATGGCTAGGTCCACGCCATCAACCGACATCACCCAACTTTGCCGCGTAATTTGTATGGCGACCGTAAACAAGAGCGACAAAAGCGGTTATGTGCCTTGATGTCGATGCAGCATACTTGAGCTTGCGGTGCGGCACATCTGCACGTAGCGAATTTGTTATGTTGACTTTAGAAGATGTGAATGCGCGCGGGTCAGCAAGCTATTCACGGTGCGTTCAATGTCATCGCGCAGCCGCTGCGCAACGCAAGACACGTGGGCCTGGTTCAAGGTCACAGCCTACACAGCATTTGCGGTGCGACATTGTCCCCTCTTGCCATAGCTGCGTGGCGGTCATAATCGTAGCTTCACAACTTCTACGGCGAGCCATCACAGCAACTGTCTCCGAGCTTCACGCAATTGGCTTAGCGACTGTAGCAATGCCGCTGTTCTCTTGTCCTCCTTGCTGTCACTACATTCGCGAGCTGAGCGCAGCGTGCGATGAGCGTCTGGCTTATTGCAAGCTTGGTGCCCCAACATGCTCAGTTCACAGCTTGGTGTACGAATGGGTACGCTTTGTGTGCTCGCGCGCTGCGGACGAGGAGCAGCGATGTCTGCCATGCGACAAAACGGATACATTGCATGTCGATGCGGGGTGCTGCCTGCATTGCTGCTGTGCGCAGCGAGCGCTGCGCTTCAGGCTTACTTGTCACGATGTGAAGGCCTCCGATCGGGACTGCTTACTGTATTTGCGATGACGGCCAATGCACGTCACTGTTCTTCCTTTTGCATCGTGATGACTTCATTGTCACTGCGCGCTGCGATGCTCTATCGATACATAATCCATTGCTGCTCTGTTCTTCTCAAAAGATCTGATCAAGTAGCGGACAATCCTCGAGCGCGTGGTCTCGCGATCCGCAGTCGTCGCAGGCAGCCGGATCGCTGCTGCTCGCTGTATCTCCGCCCGCACCCTCCTCTCCGCCCTTTGCTGCGCCGTGCCCATTCGCCTGCTGCTGCTGCTGCTGTGGTTCCGCCTCCTCAACGACCCTGCCTACTCCGCTGTGCTGCGCAGCGGCCGCTGCCGCCCGCTTCTCCTTTGCCCGCTTGAGCTTGCGCTCGCAGTCCTCGAGCTTGGCCTCGAGCTCCTCCTTCGCCCACATGCCCGCCTCGACGAGCGCTTCGAGGTCGCTCACCTCGCGGAGAAGCTCCTCATTGCGTTTGGCGAGCGATGGGGACGACGTTGGTGATGAGCTTGAGGTGGAGCTCGCCAACTTGGCGCGCAGACTCTTGACCTCTTCCTGTAGCGATGCCACCACTGCACCACCCGCGCTCGCTGCTCGCAGCTGAGCCCGCAGGTCGGCGTTCTCCTCGCTCATTGCGTTGACGATGCTCTTGAGCCCCGCCATCTCCCGACTCTGCGCTACGGATGGATCGAGACTATCCCGCAGGCTACCGGATCGGCGACTCGAGCTCGACGTTGAAGAGAAGCGCTTGGCCTTGTCCGCGTCTGGGCTGGCAAGGCTGGGAGACGACGGCATGACATTCGGCGTATTGGTTGCTGCATCCGCCAGCTTGCGCTCGAGCTCTTCGACTTTGCGGCCAGCCTCGCGTTTGCCTGAGCGTGCACCCTCGAGGAGCGCAGTAAGCTGTTCGACCTCGGCTTTCAGCTTGGAGATCGTAGCAGCATCGCTACGAGCGACGTCCCCTTCGTGAGCCTCGGCCCTCAGCGTCTCGAGCTCTGCCCTCTCGCTTTCCAGAGCGCGTCCGCGCTCCTCCAAGGCCTCGTGCAGCTCCTCGCTCTTATCACGAGCTTCTCGCAGCTCGATGGCGTGGCGATCCAGATCGGCCTTCAATTTCTTGATCTCCGCCTTTGCCTTTGTGTCCGCCTCGTGGGCTCGCTCTTTGCGCTTCGCAGCCGCTTCCCGCTCTGTCTCGACGGCGGAGAGGGCCTCTGCCAACTGGTCCTCAAGCCCGGCCAGCTTGCTGTTGGCATGCGCGAGCTGCTCCTCCAATGCTTCGCGGTCGATGCCAGCGGCGGCGTCTTTGGCACTGGTGCCACCCGCAGATTGATCACGCTGCGCGACGAGCTGGCGAATGCGGTCCTCGGCTTCGTCTACCTGTGCTTGAGCTTCAGCCGCGGCCTCCTCCAGCCTCAACTCGTACAGCGTAATCGTCTCCTGCCCAGCGTCCTTGAGGTCGTCAATCTCTCGCACCAAGTCGCCGCGCTCTGCCTCGAATTGAGCCTGCAGTCGATCCAAACGCGCCTTGAGCTGCTCCAACTCGGCGTCCTTGGCCTTGAGTTCGCCCTCGAATTCGGCGTTGCGATCGTTGTTGGCCTTTTCTTCGTCGCGCACGGCGAGGGCCTTTTTCAGCTCCTCGACCAATGCTGCTTGTTCTCCGAGGTCCGCAGTGAGCTTGGCCTTATCAGCTTCTCGCCTGCTCGCCTCATCCTGAGCCTTGCGCAAGTCGCGCTTGGCCTCGTCCAGTTCGGCGCGCACCTCCTTCTCCTTCGTCTCGATGCCGCCGCGTCGTCGCTTCTCGTCCTCCCTCTCTGTACTGCGCTCCTCCTCGATCATGCGCTTGAATGCCTCGTGATCGTCGCGCAGCCGCTTGCGCTCCCGCTCCAACTCGGCGTCTTTAGCAGCCATCTGCGCAGCCTGATCATTGAGCTGCGCCGTCTTCTCCGCCAACTCGTTGTACACCTCCTCATAGATGCTGAGTGGTACCACACCTTCAGCTACGGCCTCCCCAGAGACAGAAGCAGCTCGAGATGGAGCGCGAGCAGAGACTGGGCTGGGACCACGCAAGTCGACGGATGTCTTCTTTGGAGTAGCGTCGAGGTCCATTGCCTGCAATAGGGCGAGTGAGCGCGCCTTTTGTGATCGCAGCGAGACGGGCAAGTCTTCGTCCTCGTCACGGTCGCTTCGATGCGAGGCGACGCTTGCTGAGCGACTGTGAGCGGCGTGCCGTGGCGTATTGCCTGCATCGACGGCCATGATCGTCGACGACGAGCGCTGATGGCGACTTGCAGACATGGGTGGCGGCATGTCACTGGAGCTCTGCTCTGACTCCAACTCGGAAACGGAAGGAGGTCCTCTGGATGGTCGAAACGGGGTATGGCCCGCAATGGCTCGGAGATCGGCGATGCTTTTGCGTGGTTTTGCGGAGGCTGCATTGGACCCGATGCTCTGCCTCGACGACGCTCGTACATCTCCCTTGTTGGTCAGTGCGTCTTTGAGCGGGCTACTGTTGGCGGCGCGAGTCGGACTTCCTGCCAAGCTCTGACGAGATCGAGCAGGCGTCTGTACCGGGTCAGAGGAGACGCCGGCGGCTTGCGCCTTGCGAGCAGCCATGTCCTTTGCCTTCATGTTCATGAGCTGAGCTGCGCGTGACCCTGGATTGATGCGCTGCTGAGCTGCGGCAATCTGCTCTGCGCTCGTCTTTGCACGGCGTTGGGCTAGCGACTCTTCGCGTGCCTCTTCCATGACCGACTTGCGAGGGGTGAAGGCAGCCGTTCGTGATGCTGGACGCGAAGTTGAGAGAGCCGAATCTGGACGAGCGGACGCTCTCGAAGAGGATCGCTGCGAGGCCATGCTGCTACCTGGTCTGCTGACCGACGAGGGAGCCATGCTGGTTCTCCTCTTTGCCGGCGTAGCAGAGGGAGGTCGATCGAAAGGATCTTGTTCAGAAGCCCGTGATTGCCTGCCCGACATGGCCGACTGCGGACGAGCCACGGCATCGGTTGGCGTCTCGTTGGAGAGCTTGGCCAGACGAGAGGGAGCGAGGAACATGCCGCACTGTGGGTTGGTAGCAAAATATTGGACGCTGTGCGGAGGAGCAGAGATGTTAAAGAGACGAGTCTGGTCATTGCATCGCCTATCGTAGTCGTCCTCACCCTGCCACTGTCCCGTCATTCTTTCCCATTGAATGCCACTCATCCAGTAGCTCGATGCCGGCAAAGGCGACAGGACCTTTGCCTTGAATCTCCCCTAGATAGCGCAGGATGCCGCGATAGCCCTTTTCATTACCATCCTGTACTTCGACCTCTGCCCCCAAATCGTCGATGGTCAAATTGCGCCTCGTCGACGCGTAACGAGCATCGAGGGACGGGACTGGTGGCGTATCTGCATCGCCCCTATTCACCCGCTTTGGCGTCGCAGCACCTCGAACGGGTGTATTGAAGCGGTTTGCTCCTGCCAAGGATGTTCTTGGAGCAGCAGGCGTGACTGGACCACCTCCACTACTGAGCCCTACGCCCGATGGTCTTGCTGACCGTGCTGAAGATGAAGAGGCGAGCGAGTCGGGAGTCTGACAACGCGACGAGGGAGTCGCAGCGGCACTAGCCCCGGCCCCTGCGCGAAGATTGGTCACTGATTTGCGAGAAGCCAAGCCCGGACGTTGTAGACCCATGGATTGTCTTGCTTTGGGCAATACCGTCGTCGATGGGCCCGGTCGCAGAACATCATCGCGCGAGTTGCCTTGGCCGCTGGCAGACGATGATGGAGAAGGCGAGACGCGAGATGCTGCTCCTCGAGGCAGCGGGCTGGTAGGAGATGTGGGAGGTCGTAATCTGCGGATCGAAGTGGGTGGCGTGATGCCGGGTATGCCACTGCCGCTGGGAGAGGCGCCCTGAGCCATGGTGGCTGAGCGAAGAAGAAGGTGGTTGTGGTTGCAGTAAGAATGGTACCTGCCAAGATGATGATCCGGAGCTTCAAGTGTTGATTGCGCCTGGCTGGCCAGGCCGCCGTCGTTTTGTCTTGCCTCGCAGCTTGGTTGCCGCTGCCGCCGCTCAATTCTGTCCGACGCGAAAGACGCCTCTCTGCCGCCCACGCGACGACAAGCAACACACACACACACTCACGCAGGCGATGTCGACGTCGACTCCGATCACCGCTCCATCCGCGTTCCCCTCGATCAGCTTCCAATCCCTCCATCCCTTCCGTCATCCTCTTGCTCAACTTGGTACGACGCAGCAGTAGCAGCAGCAGCAGCCATCGATCTCTCCCCACCGCAACCCCTGCCCTACCTTTGATACCCTTCATCACTATCCCGTAAATCCATCTGCTGACCTCCCGAGTGGCTGCTCATCATCAAGCAGAGGACCGTGCGCTGCGAGGACTACGTAGGGCAAGGCGGCGGCGACGACCATCAGGACGATCTCAGCTACTGCCCTGACTGCGCAGCCTAAGCTCGTCACCATGTCAGACGATGAAGCAGCGCCGTGAGTAGAGCGTGACAAGAGTCTCATCCTGCCTATATGCTAACTCGCACCCTCGCTATAGGTCCTTCGACGATGCGTCCAAGGAGGCGTCGTACTGGCGCATCAAGGCCCAAGACTACCAAGACATGCTGCGAGAGGCAGAAGCCAGTCTCAAAGACTTTTCAGAAAGCTCCAAAGAACTCGAGCAGGAGATGGAAAGGGAGCTGGCTCAATCGGCAAAAGACCTCGACGATGCGAGGGCCAAGAACGAGAAGCTCAGCCAGGACAAGGACGAGTGGAAGGTGCGAGAGCGAGCGACGATGCTGCAGATGGGCATCTCGATTGCTGATAGCTTTTCCATCATCCTGTCTGGCAGTCCAAGTATACCAAATCGCTCACCGAGCACAACAAGACGCTCAACGAGATGTCCAGAGAGCTCGCACAGCTCAGAGAATCCCACAACATCTACAAGAATAAGCTGCGAGACATGGAGCTTGATAACGACGAGCTCGAGAATGCGGAAAGAATGGTACGCTCCTCTCTCAACGACATTGAACAGCGTTACAATCAGCAGATGGAAAAGGCAACGCTTCTAGAGCAGGAGGTCATCGACAAGGCTCACCTCGAGGAGGAGAACCAGCGATTGCGCGATGAGATTCGAGATCTCAACGAAGAGCTCGCCGTCCTGCGAGAGCGAGAGGCCATGCTGTCCGCAGCCCAGTCACGCAACGCGTCAGCTTCCACAGAACCGCCTCGCAGTACCATGAAGCTCCACGAAGGAAGGGAAAAAGAGCTCACTCTCAGCGATCTCACCCCATCTCGACCTCACAGCGTCGCCTCGGCTGCCAGCAAAGAGCGTTCACCCTCCAAATCGAAACCTCCTCAAGCGCGAGTCTCTCTCGTGCCGCGCAAGTCGCTCGCCACCCCCCGCGATTTCGGCCGGACCATCACAAATGAGCGCAACGAGAGTCCGGCGGTCCGTAATCGTCGCGCAGAGCTGGCTGCTAGTACGGCTCGCCGAGGAGCTACGACGCCTCGACTGAGAACGCAAGCTACCTCGGGCACTTCAATGCGCATGATGAGGGACCTGCTCGGCAACATGAGCGCGCTGCAAACCCGCATTCAGAGGGCCACGACCGTCGGGCCAGCTCCCGTAAGCGCCGATCCTGATCGCTCTGCTCTTCCTCGCCCAAGCTCTCGACTAGGCTCTAGCATCTCAGCAGGAGGGTCAAGTCCAGTGACAGCAGGCACGCCCCACTCGCGCCCGAGACCTTCCTTCGATGGCAGAAGTAGTATTCCAGTGGCCAGCGCAGGCCTCAATCGCTCCATCCGTCGTCCGACGTCGAGAATCAGCATGGCGCCCAAGGTTCACGGCAGCAGTAGCAGCGCAGCGGAGGCAGACGACGATGAGTCTCCGCAACGTTTGCCTGGCTACATTCCTGCGAGGAGTATGACGCCTACCGCCTACACAGCTCGCGCCAGAGCGCATCCTACGAGCACTACGTCGAGCACCCTCTCACGTGGCGCTGGAGGCGCCTCTTCGCCCCTCGACTTCCTCAACTCGGAGCCAGAGGCAAGACCCTCGTCGAGAAGTACGTTCCAGGCAAGGGACAGCCTTGCGAGGAGTCGACGACCCGGGGAGGCCGGAAGTCATCGTCGTGGCAATTCGATCCAGGTCGACGGCTCGAGTACAGACGAGAGAGACTTGCTGGGCCGGTCGGCTTCGGCTACGGGTCGACCTCGAGGCTCGACAATCAGCAGCAACACCACCACCATCCCGGGCTTACCTGCGACTTCGTATGCCCCGTCAAACCGTTTCACTCCTTCGACTGGGCGACCAGCCACATCCCGAGCCGCTCCATCTTTGACGTCTGAGCACCCGCCTTCAGAGACTGGCTCCTCCCTATCCTCCTCCCTCGCCGCCTTCCGCCAACGTCAAGCCTCTCACGCACGACCATCCTCCGCAGCCGGCCGTCGACCAGCTAGCGGCATCACCTCAGCGGGAGGTCCACCGCCGCCATCTTGGAAGAAGAAGCACGATCCTCTTGTGGCATTGGAGGGGGCGAAGAGCTTGAGGCGGAGTAGGAGCTCGAGCGTGGGCAGCGAGACTGAGCGGTATTGAGGGCGGCATGGGCGTGGTCTATTTGTTGTACTCGTACCCTATTCCGCATATCCATTTGCGCCCTTGCGGCTCTCCATCATCCGTGGCCCCCGCCTCTAGCCCGCAACCCAGGGCAAAGGGCAGCCTCGCACAGATCTGAGAACGCAGAGAGCCCTGGTCGTGGTTGCTTCTACTCCTCGCCCCTTGTCAGTCGAAGCAGGTTTGGCGATACTCAGCCTTTGCCGCCGCAATGCTCTTCTCCCTCACCTGCCTCATGCTGTGCGTCGGCGTGGTTGCGGCCGCCGGGCCTGAGCCTTTTACGACTCCTGCCAACCTGTCGCACTACAAGCCCGGGGACGTGATTTACACTCGCAAAGCTGCTCCCCCTCCCCTAGAGAAACACGCCATCTTGGCGGATGCCGTGTACCAGTTGCTGTTCAGAAGCTCAGACAGCAACAATGAGTCAATCGCAGCGGTCACCACGCTCGTCATCCCCAAACAGCCCGAGGTAGTACGTCCTCTGAATAGCAAAGGTCCACCCTCGCACACCATCCTGAGCTATCAGGCTGCGCAGGACTCGGTCAGCCTCGCGTGCTCGTCGTCGTCACTGTGGGGCCGCAATGACTCCGACAGCACGACCTCGAGTGAGGGTGAAACGGCCCAGGTCATTGGATGGGCACTCTACCGCGGCGTCTATCTCGTTCTGCCCGATTGGCAAGGCCCGCACTCATCGTACGGCGTCGGACGTCTGGCGGGTAAAGTAGTCCTTGACTCGCTCCGAGCTGTCGAGCACTTTCAAAAGCTCAATGGCTCACAAGTACTCATGTACGGTGCCAGTGGTGGCGGTCATGCTACCGCTTGGGCATCCACCATGGCGGCCTCGTATGCTCCTGAGCTCAAGGTGGTGGGCGCATCATTCGGCGGCGCGCCTCTCGATCAAGAGCAGCTAATACGCAGCGCGAATGATGGGCCATTCTCACTGTACTCCGCCGCCAGCCTGCTCGGCTTGGCAACGCAGTATCCCGAAGTCCAAGCAGCCGTCAACAAGACAAAGGGCCCTAAAGAGGCGGCCCACCTCCGCATGCTCACGACTCCTGCAGCTTGCACCAACACATCGATTGCTGACTTTGGCAGCATCGACGTGCTCAGTCTCTTCCAGGGCGGCAGTCCGCTGGGCAATCACAACGTTCAACGAGCACTCGGCCGCGAGACTCTGCTCCCTGATCGAGCCGCAGGCTTCAATATTGCCGTGCCCAGGTTCCCGCGCTACATCTTCCATTCTCTCCTCGACGAGGTAGCCCCGCACAATGACACACTCGCGTACGTCAAGGATCAGTGCAAGCGTGGAGGTGATATTGTGCTGGATACGTACAAGGGGCGCGGCTGGCCGGGGCTGGGCAACCACTCCGCTGCTCGGTACGGCGTGTGGTCCTTGCCCCTAGGAGCGCTTGGCTTCTTCCTGCACGGCGAGAAGTTTGGTGTACCGTGTGGGGAAGGCCCGCCCGGATTCGAGGAGGTGTAGTGTAGTATCGGCAGCGAAGCGATGCTGCGGCGGGCAGGTCCCGTCGCGATGCTCACAATCAACATCTGATCGCCAGCGTCGTAGTCAAGACTGTCATTGCATTGAGGTCCGAAGCGGAAAGAAGCGATACAGGCGCGGCGGTTTCGTCGTAAAGAACAACAGAGCGAGCGGCAAAGGTAGGGGCGCGGTGAAGGCGAAGACAAACGAGAACGGAGTCGCGGTACCATGGAGGGGGAAAGCGAGTCAAGTCAAGTCATGCGAAGAAATTGTCCATCTCTGTTGAGGCGCGCTCCTTCAGCGATTGTTGACCTCGAAGAAGGCAACTCTCTCCTTCAGCGTCATGCCCGTCTTGGCAGGAGCAGTCATCTTGCGAGTCTGCTGTTGTTGCTGTGAAAAGTTACTGCCTCGCGAGTATGACGATGGCGGTGTGTCCTCCTTCTTGGCCCATGTCGCGTCGCTCGGGGTGCTGATGCGACTGGCTGACACGGGGCTGGCATCGCCGCTCGTGCTGCCCAGGTAGTTCTGGGCCCTGGCGCGAAGTCCCTGGCTGGCGAAGCGTCCCGTCGAGATGTCGCCGCCTGCCGTAGCCGGGATAGAGGGCGAGAGATTGAGCGGTGAGCTGATGGGGCTCGCGCTGGGCGAGGCCCCACCGCCTGCTCCTAGGCCGGCGTACGAGGCGGGAGAGGGTGAGGTGCGACCTCCGATGAAAGTCGACGTGGGCGAGACGGAGCGCGGGGCGGGCGTAGTGCTGGATCGATGAGGAGGAGGCGCGAGATGCTGTTGCTGCGCGAGCTTGGCTGGCGTGACGGTCGACGAGGAAGACGTGTAGCTCTTGCCGGAGGCTTCCTTGTCATGCGTCGCTCTCGTAGAAGCAGCCGCCGTTGGCAGAGGAGGCAGCTCCGATTCTGCCTCTTCTTCATCGTCGTCATCAAGACGTTCCTCAGCAGCAGGCGTTGAAGCCTTTGGCTGCATCAGCGCTTTGAGGCGGTCATTGACGCTGCGGCTGGTAGAGCTAGCGCTGCGGGCTGAGCTTCGTCCGTCGTCCGATCGTACAGGGCTCCCAGCAGAAGCGCGCATGGCGGCCAAGGCGCTGGCTCGAAGGGGCTGTGGCTCGAGAGTGTGACTGATCGTAGTCTGATTGGCAGGGAGAGAAGCGCTGATGTCTTGTGACTCCTCTTCGTCCTCAGCGTCAAGGGTCACCTCGGAAGGCAGAGCGGGGATGGAAGGGGCTGGCGAGGGCGAAGGCGAGCGTTGAACTCGACGAGCGTCTTGAGCATCACCAGCTGGGCTGACTCGCCCGTCAATCATCGGCCTACCCAAAGCGCTAGTGTACTTTGGGCGACCTGATGGCGACGTACTGCGTGCCATTCCGCTATCAGTGGATCGATGCTGGCCATCGTACCTGCCCTCGTCCTTGTCGAGAGCAGGAGCAGATCCAGGCGGCAGGGTAAGCTGCGACTTGGGCGGCGACGAGGACGTCGTTGGCGGCGTGGGAGAAATGGCAGCGGCGGGCGCAGATTCCTTTTGCACGATCCGCGAGGAAGCCGGCGCCTGCTGTCGAGCCAGAGTAGCGAGCGTCTCCCTTCCCTCTCGAATCTCATTGGTTCCTGCCTTGAGCTGCCCAATCTCGTGCTTCATCAAGCTCGTCATCTGGCCGACCCACCTGTCCATCTCTCTCTCGCGCGCCGTTCTTCCTGTTCGGTCGCTTGCTCCGTCTGCCGTAGCACTGGCTGCCATTTGGGCGTCGCGCTCGATGTCCACCAGTCGAGACTCGAGCGAGCGGAGTAGAGGGACGGCATAGCGCTCGAAGCGGTAGAAGCGCGTCATCATCTCTTGAAGCGCAGGCATTGTACCGCCCATCTCGGATGGCATGGGACCACGTCCAGGGGCGAGACCGTCCTTGCGAGCGAGAGCTGGGGACGGACCAGCTTCAGGACGAGGTTCAGGCGTGGCTATCGCTGCAGGCGCCGCCTGGCTCTTGGCAGGTGATGGTCGAGCGGGAGTTGCTGCAGCATCAGAGACTGGCCCTTGCTGCTTCTTCGGCGACGACTTTGTCGCTCGTCGTACAGGCGTCTCGCCAAAGGAGGCGTCCGCAGCGCCAGCTCTCGCGGGAGATGTGTCGAAGCCGCGTTGGACTCGAGTAGGGGATTGCTCGTTGTTGGCCGCTGCGATGCTAGCCCTCCTATCCTGCTCCAAATGACGGCTGCGGGTTTCTGCGATGATCCTCTGCGCAGGTGTGAGGCTGTCCCAATCAATCTGAGGTTGACCAGCAACAATGCGTTCGGCGACGCTCGTGCTATTGGCGCCTCTGTCCTCGCCACTGCCGGCGCTTTTCACAGTCAGGCGTCGGACTAGGTCGACTCGCCCGCTCTCGGTCATACGATTGAGGGCTTCTGGCGTCCAGCCTTCAACTACAAGCTCGCGAGCGAGGCCGGAGGGGAGACTGGGCACAGGTTTGCGGTGAGGAGGGCTGATAGGAGCAGGCGATGACCCGTCAATGATCTTGCGTCGCTCCTCGTCGATCAACTTGGCCGCCTCCTTTTGACTCCTCTTGCGCAGCATCTCGGCTTCCTTGTCCGCGGCATCGATGGCAGGCTGACTGCCGCTCCAGACTCTTGCGCCCATCATCGATCGGCGATTATAGGCGTCGGGGGATACGCCATAGGGTGTCCCCTGCTGAGAGGGTCCATCCTCGGATTCATCGCCGTCATCCTCGTCGTCCTTGTTTGGCTTGGCAAAGAAGCCCTTGATGCGAGAGGCGAGGCCTGGAGAAGTGCCTGGGCTGGCCTCGTTGCCGCCGATGAAGCCGAAATTGGCTGCACGCTGATCTGCGACGCTCTGGCGGCGATCGCGGTGGGGCGAAGAGCCTGGTGTGGGAATGTTGATTGGAGAGACGCTGTCTGCGGTATTGAGAGAATTGGGGTCGAAACCAGGGATGACGTGATTCTTGATAGAGTCGGAGGCGGGAAAGGGAGCAAAGACGTCGCCTTGATTTGGGGCCTGGTGGGGTTGCGCAGCTTGCGCAGCTTGCGCAGCTTGCGCAGCTTGCGCAGCTTGCGCAGCTTGCGCAGCTTGCGGGGCTAGGGGCATTGGCTTGCGGAGAGGTGACGTGCGAGCGCCCGGAGCATCGAATTGAGGCTGTATGGCAAAAGGGGCGCGAGGCGGCTGCATCTCTGCGTCGTGCTGTCGTTGGCTGAGCGGGCCCGGGCTGATTCGATGAGGTCGTTGGAAAGCGGCGGCTTTGGTGTGGCCAGGAGAGGCTGGACGAACAGGTGGAGAGACGGGTGTGCTGCCGTACTGCATCTGCTGAGGATGAGGAGGCGCGGGAGTCTCGCGGATGATACGACCATCATTGTGGCTGTCTGCTGTGCCGTAGCCTGTTCCACCTCCCGGTCCTCCAGGAGGGACACCCAGAGACATACCTCCTGCCATGCCGATTGGCTTGCTCTTGCTGCGTCTGTACTGGAGCTGGTTGCCCTGGCTATCAATGTCCCACGACACGCCGCCATTCTGTTTGACTACGTTTCGTACTACGAAGCTGCTCTCGTTTGGCGACCTGCTTCGACTGACTCTGCCTCTGCTGCGGCTGCGCTTGCCGTCTTCTTCACCGCCGTCTTGACGCTGAGTGTTGGGCGAGTTGGATCTGCTGCGAGAGAACCACTGAGTGAATCGATTGGTGCGAGACTGGTTCGATGGGGTAGGGGATGGTGGCTCGTAGCTGGTATGACCGCCATCGTATCGATGGTAGTCGTTGCCCGGGCTGCCCGCTGGCGCCCACATTGCCGTGGCTGCAGCCATGATCGTGGAGATTGAGGGGATGCCAAAGAGCAATCAGCACGGGCTCGATGGAGTTTCTTTGAATGGCTTTCGCCCCTGATGAAAAGTGGAAACAATGAGGTGACGGTAAGTGGTTGGATCGTATTGGGAAGGAGCGAGCCCCTATCACACATCAACGCAGAGGCGCGGCGGAGCGGGGCCAGGCGGGGGCGCGGCGCGGCAAGCGAAACCAACACAACGGCTCAAGCTCAGACGACGGACAGACAAGACGCGAGTGGAGCATCGTTGAACAAACACAAACGCCAAAGACGTGACGACGTAGATGACGTGCAGCAACGACGTGGCGGCTCAAGTGGCTTCCACCCGCTCCTTTTCAATATCACTCTCAAGTCACAAACAGCAATGGCGGCAAGAACAGCTCTCAACGCATCACAGTCGGCCAACAAGGACAACAACAACAACAACCTCTCTCAACAGCTTGCAAAGCTGCAGGCAAAGTTCGGCGACTGCGACGCGCAGCGAATCGCCAATGCGAGAAAGCTCGGTGATGTAGAGACAGAACTGCGGCTCAGCCATCAGCGAGAGGCGAAACTCAAGGCCAGTCTGGATAAGGTCAGAGACAGCGCTCCACAGCAATCGAATCGAGAGCTGGCTTCCAAGCTGCAAGAGCTCACGCGACTTCACCAAGAGGCAAAGGAGAAGCATCGAAGCGCCATGGCAAAGATGGAAAGGGAGAACGATGAGGAGCTGAAGGGGATGCGAAAGCAGTTGGAGCGTGCGCAAAGGCAGCTGGAGGAGCAAGAGCAGGCAAAAGAGGAGGCAGAAGAGCGGGCAGAGCTCGTGGCAGCCCAGCTACGGGCGACAACACGAGCTGCGCAGGAGATCGGAGAGCGTCTCGCTCATGTCGACGAGGAGAAGCGCGATCTGGCGTTTGAGCTGCAGCTGCAGCGTGTACGACAAGTCAGGAGCAGCAGCCAGAAAGAAGACGACTCGAGGGCTCTGCTTCTCGAACGCATCGAAGAGCTCGAGCAGCAGGCGGCGAGGGACGCCCAGCTTCTCGAAGCGAGCGAGAGCGCGATGCTGCGCTTGCTCAAGGATCAAGATGCCGGTGAAGAGTCGGCCACCATCTCACTCGACGTCGAGGCAACGCCAAGCAATCTCGAGTGCATCAACGCCGACCTGCAAGCCGCTCTCGACCTCAACTCTGCCCGCCTCACCCAGACCCAGCAGGACCTCTCTGCGCTGCACGCCTCTTACCTCTCACTCCTCTCCTCCTCAAAACAACACGAAAGCCTCATCGCCCGCATCACGACGCTGGAGCACTCCGGCAAATGCACGCAGGAAGAGCACGCAGCCGCCCTCGCCAACCTCGCAGAAACGCAGCAGCGTCTACAATCCTCACGCAACGACGGCTCTGCGCTGCGTTCTCAACTCGCAGAGCTGCGCACGACACAGCGACAGCAGCTCGAAGCAACTAAAGCCTCGCAGCAAGAAGTCGCCCTCACTCGTACACGATTGGCGCACCTCGAGGAGACCAATGCTGACCTTCTCGCAGCACTGCAGCATGCGGTCCCCTACGAGGAGAGATACCACTCTGTCCTCTCGCAGGCAAAGATGACCGTCGCGCGCTTGCAGGCTTGCGAGGAGCAGCTGGCTAGCTTAGCGGAGGAGAATCTGGCCCTGGCTAGTCATGAGAATCCGGCGCAAAAGATCTTGTATCTGGACGGCGTCAGGCGCGAGCTCTTGGAGGCAAAGGCGAGAGTGGGGGAGCTGGAGTGTGAAGTGCAGGAGGAGAAGCGACGCAGGCAGGGTGTAGAGGGAGAATTGAGCGCGCTCAAAGGGCTGGGGTCGAGCGGAGGGGCAGGGCAGTCTCTCTCTGCTTCTATTGGTGGCGGAGGGAGGGTAAGGAGGGTGGCAGCGGCGTAAAGCACCGCTCAACGATACCGGCCCCTCGACCTTGTAATGATACCCGATCAGTCACCCGTGTCATCTATGCATTCATTCCTTCTTGCTACTCGATTCCATCTCTTTTTGCATTGCGCTCACGCCTAGTTCAAAGGCCTCTTGGGGCCCTCAACCTCGGGCTTGTTGTCCAAGATGGCCTCAATCTCCTTGACAATCTCCGGCGTCAACTTAGGCAGCACCTCCAACGCCTTGAGGTTTTCCTCGAGCTGCTCAAGAGACGAAGCGCCGAGAATGCAGGTTGATACGTTGGGGTTGAGAGCAGTCCAAGCGATGGCGAAGGTGGCCATCTTGCATTGGAGCTTCGATTCAGCGAGCTCGGTAAGCTTGCGGATTTTGGCGACGGTGGCTTTGCCCTCGTCGGTCTCGAGCTTTGCGATGAAGCCCTTGAAAAAGTCGGAGTTGGTGTCGAATCGCGATCCAGGCGGGACCTTTCCCGAGTTGTACTTGCCTGTGAGCATGCCAAACTGCAGTGGAGACCAAATCGTGGTGCCGTACTGGTACTTCTCGAACACGGGCAGCAAGTCCTTCTCGAGGGTGTGGCGATGCATCATGTTGTACTGCGGCTGGTCAGCGATGGGTGCGATCAAGCCGAGACGGTGTGCAATCTGCGTCGCCTCGCTGATCTGGTCTGCTGACCAGGACGAGGTTCCCCAGTAAAAGCAGCGATCCGATTCGATGAGGCGATTGAAGGCTCGGACAACTTCCTCCATGGGAACGGTAGGGTCAGGCTGGTGAGCCAGAATGACATCCCTGCAGTCGAGTGAGCGCAGCGAGCGAGGTGTGTCAATACGACGTCTTCTTGGCCGCGGCCGCCTCGCTGAACCTGCTCACCAGTATTTGAGGCCTGCTCGCTCGAGCGTCTGGTCGGCAGCCTCGATGACGTGCTTCCTGCTGAGTCCCGTGGCATTCGGGTCAGTGCCGCCGCAGCCAAAGTAGATCTTGGTGATGAGAACGAGCTCGGTACGCTTGATGTTGAGGTCCTTGATGGCCTTGCCCATCGCCTTTTCGCTCTCGCTGAGAGGTGGAGGGGACCAGGGACGTGGCGCAGCGCGTGAGTGAAGAGTCGTGCTGTGTTCCGAATGCGTACTCACCCCTTTGAATAGACCTCGGCGGTGTCAAAGGTGTTGATACCGGCTTTGTAGGCTGCGTCGATCATCTTGGTAGTGAGCTCCTGGTTGACGGAGCCTCCCAATGTGAGCCATCCACCCAGGGAGAAGAGGGACACTCGCAGGCCAGAGGGGCCAAGACGACGGAACTGCATGTTCTTGCGGTCGTAGGTGGGTGACTGAGTTGAAGCCGACATGGTTGTGGTTGTGGGTTGCGAATAGTAGTTTTGATGCAGAGAAGTCGTTGGGGTCTGGCTGGTCTCGACGGCGGCACGTCAGATCTTCCGGACCCTGGACGCTGAAGCCGCCCCCGCCGCCGCTGCGAGCCTCGGCGGCCGCTCACCTCAGCGTGCTGCCCCACTTTGGCGTTGGCCCGTGCAGCACCGTCGGATCGGAACGGAGACCGAGCTCAAGTCCGCGACCGACGGAGAGAGCGACGTCTAAGAAGCGGATCGAGAACTGACGCCACACCTCTTCCCGCCCACCTCACACCATCCTCAACTCGACGAGCTACCATGGGACTCTTTGACTTCTTGTGAGTCAGCCCTGAGAAGCACGTCGTGCGTGCTCGCCTGCATGCGTGCTCTTGGCTGACCTCTGCTGTACATCTCACCGCGCAGCTCCGCGCCACCGTCAGCACCTGCTGCGTCTACGCCCGCTGCTTCTGCCCCGGACACTTCTAACAAGCATGTCACAGCCCTCAACCCAAAGGGCATCAAGCCATGCTGCGCCTGTCCAGAGACCAAGATGCCGAGAGACGACTGCTTCCTCAAGTACGGGCACGACGGGGATGAAAGCTGGAGGTGCAAGGACCTCGTAGAAGAGCACAGAAAGTGCATGGCCAGCCTCGGATTCAAGATCTGAGCTGGAAGGGGGGATGTGCGGATAGACAAGGAGGCATTCCACTGTATCAACACGACAATACCAGATCACCACCACCACTGACCGCTGCTATCACTGGCTGGCTCTACGCATGTTTTGACAAGGTTGGGCCGTGAAGAATAGCGACATGGGTGACGCGGGACAGGATGCGCGCGCATACATGCGGAAGTAGCAACAGATCATGACGTCGTCTCCATCAGGCCTCCTTTGCCACGCTAATAGGCGCTGCCCCCTCTGCTATGAGACTCTGGTACCGCAGGCGTGTTAGGCCTGCTAGGGTATGGCGAGTTGGCGCCGCTGGCAAAGTTGCTCCTCATGCCCGGCAGCACCTTGAATCGTAGTCTATCCAAGATGGGCAGCTTGGGAAAGATGACGATGATGCAGGCCACGAAATTGAGGGCAAAGAGGGCGAGATTGAAGCGTGTGTAATGCGTCGAGATGAGGAACACGCCGATGGGTACAGAGGTTAGCCATTTCTTGGCCGGGGTGTACTGCGCCCCTTCGTCGATCTGTTCCCAGAGGGTGAGCTGGTCGTAGGCGCCTGCATTGGAGTCAAAGGGGGTGCCGGTGACGTGGTGGAACATAATGAAGGATAGCTATGGGCGCGCGACGCGAACGGCCAAGGATGAGTGGGGTGGTCAGGCCGGCACTCGATGCTTGAATCTACTTCTCGCCTGCTCACCGTATCGTAGCCTAGATTGACCAATGTCCAGCTCAAATCTTGCGGCATCCCTGGTACGACGTCAAGGAGGATCTTGCCGAACATGATGAGGACGACGTGGATGACCCAGGCACCTGCGTGCGATGGCGAGGACGAGGATCGAGATCAGCTGGATGGTCCACTTTTGATACAACCCCTTGCCTACGGTGCTACGCACCCTTGTAGTTGACCCAATCAGCATTAGCATTGAAGCCCGCACTCTGATCCAACAACTCCTCCGGACTCTGCTCGATCTTCTTGACGACTACGATGGACGAAGCTCTGCGACGGTGCGTCGGGCGGTCCTTGCCACCTTCTGAAGCCCTCGCAGAGCTCTGCGCTGCATTGTCTGATGCCATATGCCTCACAGTCGACGCTGATGATGACGAGCTAGCCGGTGAAGCGACGCCTGCGCTCAGAGCTCCCACGCCAGCGACTGCTTGTGATGACGACGTGTTTGAATTGGATGAGCCTGCGGCGCTGCTACTCCCGCCCAAGGATGCCGGAAGGGCGCTCGATGATGCCGTGGCAGTCATACGTAGCGACGAGGAAGATTATTGGCTTGGTGGAGTGGGTATTGGTGCGCGAGGAGCTCAGCGAGCCTGGTGGGTCAGGAGATGTGGCCGGGGGGCAGGGGCGCGAGGGGATGACGAGGGGACTGCGCAGGTCTGCTGCGCCGTCAGGAGGTTTGAATCTGCCGTGATCAGCTGCCTCAGATAGCAGTGGAAGAATGGAGGGCTGGAATCGCTGGGACCTTGCAAGGATGGGAAGGCAAAAGTCAATCGAGTGATGGTCGACTTGGCTTGCTTGTGCACGTCGGCCCGCCGCCGCTCAGCATCCAGTCGACGTCGCGAGCCCGGACTCCAGGCGGCCACGCCAGTCCATGCCATGCGGGCGGGCGGACGGGCGGGCGGGCGGGCGGGCGGCTCAACTCAATTCTCGTCTCGACTCGACTCGCAGGGCTGTGCACAGCCAGGCTCGTGCCGGCCAAGCAACAACGATGACGGCTCAGTAATATTCACGACGATGCGCTGCGTTGACGCCAGACTCGCTCTACAAATACAATCGACTGCTCAAGGACGTCGTACTTCTGCCTTCTCTGTTCTGAGCTGAGGGAGAAGTCGGGGAACTGCGTCCAGCCGTGGGGGGCGCCGGAGACGTGGAGCGGAGTGACGCCGAGCGTTGAACTGTCCCCGCTGGTGGTCAGACGGCCAGCTGCGTCCAAGGCTTGCAGCCAGATGCTTGACTGATGTGCCAGCGAGTCTTGAGATGGTAGGACGAGAAGAGAGTGCGAGAGCGGGTGTAGCATATTCTGCGAGGTGTGCGGGAAGCTGTTCGCCGATGCCTGTCCTGCCTCGACGTCATCGTCTCGACCCTGTCCACTGCCCTCTGTGATGACATTGACCAAGTGCTCTGCTGAAGCCCTCCTCATCGGGCCGCTACCCAGCCCAGCCAGACCAGGCGACGCTCGTATCTCGCCACTTTGCCAGCGTTCGAGGTATGCATCGCCCATGACGGAGCCAAGCCATCGCAGCAAGCCGCTGCTCCTCTTCATCCCGAGGGGCAGCGGTCGCTCTGAGATGAGCATGCGCAAGTCGAGTGAAGGATAAAAGAGGAGATCAGGAATGTCGTAGGGGTGGCGTGTCTCGCTGACTGGCGAGGGCCAATTCGGTGGCGACACGAGAAGATTGAGAGCCAGGTTGCCTCCGGATGAGAAGCCTGACAGCGAGAGGCGAGTTGCGTCAAGGTCGAGAGGTGTTCGTCCTCCAGCAGCGAGGCTTCCATCTACGGCAAGACGCAACGCTGCGTAGCCCTCCCACTGCTCGTCGATGCAAGCTCGCGCGACGTCCTCGGCATCGTGAATGGCGGCAGGGTATCTGCGCGGGTGAGCCGGGCACGGTCAGTACGCTCGTTCGCAGCATTGAAGTCATCCGGACAGGTCACGCACTTGGAGAGGGGGCCTAGCCTGTAGTCGACGGTAAGGACGACGGCTCCAAGTCTGCGGCTTATCAGCGAGCAGAAGGGAGCTTGCTCAGCCAATTGGCCAGTCACGAAGCCGCCTCCATGAAAGTCGATGTGAAGTGGAGTCCGCCCGTCAACAGGGATGCTGTCTCGTGGTGGCAGGAAGAGCCAGCAGTAAATCGTCCGTCCAGGCTCGCGCGAGGGGAGGTGGATGACTTGCGGAAAGGGCGGTGACGTCGATGTGGTGTAGCGCAGCAAGAGTCGAGGCACGATGCGGGGCAAGCGGAGGAAGATGAGGCAGATGATTTGAGACCACGTCAATGACCAGAGGGAGACCTGACGAGCCGATTGATACGACGGCATCGCGATGGACGAGAAGCAGCCGCTTCAAGTCTCTATGGGCTACAATTGAGCGCTGGAAAGGGAAGAAGATCACTAAATCGCCGGCGAGTGGAGCTCATCTCGGCAGGCAGGGGCGGCAAGCTGCTCGGCCGCGACGTCGACATCGATGCCGCGATGCGCTGAGATGGTCGATTGTCACCGCGGTAGGCGTCGCGCTCATTACAAAAGCGATCGATACGCGGCATCCACAACACTAAGAGGACGATGAGGGCGCTTTCGTGAGGTACGGCCGCGGCTCGGAACCACCTTCAATCTCATGTCAGCTCGTGAGAATCGTCGTCAAAGCCGGTCGAGTCCATCTCCCCCCGGCCACTCTCGAATCACCACGGCATCGGATCGCACGCAGGAACCATAAAGTCAAGCTTTTTCATGCCAGACCGCCCGCCCTTGCTCAAACAATGAAGATCGAAATGAGAATGCCGCATGTGTTCGCATCGTGCGAGCGAAGAGGGAGTGCCCTCGTCTCAGGGACGACATCTCGACACGCTCTGCCTGCACCGACGTCGACGATACCGTAGCCGTAGAGAGCGTTGCTTGGTGTGCGAGCGTGTGGGTCAAGGGTTGCACGCGACGGACGGACGGAGGTTCGTAGAAGACAAGCCACGCCTTCACGCCCCGAGCGGGCGGCGCCAGCCAATTTACGATCGCTTCGATGCAGGCCCCGGTGAAGAAGGGGGGGCGCAGCCGGGCGGCCGACCCCCGTTTTAGGCTCGTTTTCAATTCTACGCCCTTTGCCCACCACCCACAGCCACACGCCTTACGACGCCGACTGGGCGAGCAACAAGCGGCGGCGAGCAAGGGCAAGAGACAAACGAGACAAGACGAGACGAGGCCGAGACGAGGAACGCAGACCAGGGATGAAGACATCTTCTGTTCGTGGGTTCAGGGCAGAGCACACAGTCACCTCTTGCACCTCTTGAGAGCGTCGACAGGGCGCAAGACGGAGGCCCGATTAGAGAGCGAGAGCGAGAATGACAGCGGGAGCAAGTCGCGCGATGGCCGGTCGGCCAGGCCCCTGTTTGTCAACGATATGAAGACGATCAAGAGGTATAAAGAGTGGGCGGTGTTGAGCGAGCGTTGCCTCCTTGTCAACAATAGAATTCCTCCTCCCTGCACCCCTTTCCCCCCTCGCTGCTATGTCATTTGGGCGCGACAATCGCAAGTCCATCGAGATGGAGGGTGACTCCGGCGACGACAAGGGGTCCGTCCTCGAGTCGCAAGATGCTCACGCCTCCACAGCTGTTGGTGTCGATGCCATCGACGTGGAAAAGGGCCTTCCCCGCTCTGCTACCTTTCGCCTCCCTGACCCAGCTACCTTTGGCGTAGATGAGGGAGGGCGGAGGACATTCGGCGGAGGCTACTCGCAAGACATCAACCGCGAACGCACACTAGAGAAGACGCAGTCGATTGGAGGTCTCTCCCTCGCTCGCGCGTCAGCTAGACAGAACATCGACCCTCGCCCTCGTATCGCAGCCGACTTCCGCACCCTCTCCGTCCAAGTCAGCCACGGCGGCCTCGCAGACCCTACCAAGAAGAAGCAGAAGAAGGACGCCAAGCAAGTCAAGGACCTCGCCGACCTCGACTGGCATTTGCTTCCCGTCGACGAGGTGCTGCAGCGTCTCTCTACCACATCGAAGCTAGGCCTTGACAAGGACCAAGTCCTACGTCGCCGAAAGCAGGACGGTCTCAACAAGGTCAGCAAGCCTCCTAGTCAATGGCTCCGCAAGCTCTTCCACTACACGCTAGGCGGCTTCGGCGGCATTCTCATCGGCGCTGCGATCCTTGTCTTCATCTCGTGGAAGCCGCTTGGTCTGCCCAACCCCGCAGTCTCGGTCCTTGCCCTGGCCATCGTCCTCGTCTTGGTCTGGTTCCTTCAAGCCATCTTCAACGCCTGGCAAGACTTCACTACCGCACGCACCATGGCTTCCATCGGCTCAATGCTCCCCTCGCAGGTCCACGTCATCCGTGACGGAGAGCGCCACTGCTTCCCCGCCGAGGACATTGTCAAGGGCGACATCATCGTCGTCGGCATGGGTCAGAAGCTTGCTGCAGACGTACGCTTCGTCGACTTGGCGGGCGAGATCAAGGTGGATCGCTCCATGATCACGGGCGAGTCCGACGCCATCAAGTGCACGATCGACAAGACGGACGACAACTACCTCGAGTCACGCAACGTCGGGCTGATGGGCACGATGTGCGTCTCTGGCTCTGGCGGGCTTGCCGTGGTCACAGCCGTCGGCGACGACACCGTCTTTGGGCGATTAGCCAAAAGCGCAGCCAAGCCCCGTACCACTCGCACCACCCTCGAGACGGAAATCTTCTACTTTGTCCTCTGCGTCGCCGCCATCGCCCTTTTCCTCGCCGTCGCCTGCATCATCATCTGGGCCGCCTACCTCCGACCCCAGCACCCAGCTTTCATGTCCGACTCGCAGATGGTCGTCAACATCGTCTCGATTGTGGTCGCCTTTATTCCGGAGGGTTTGCCCATTGCCGTCTCTTTATCGCTCACCGCCATTGCAGCCAAGATGCGCAAGTCGCGCGTGTTGGCCAAGACGTTGTCGGTCGTCGAGACGCTGGGCGCCGTCAACGTCATCTGCTCGGACAAGACGGGAACCCTCACCACGAACAAGATGCGCGTCACTTCGCTGGCCATCTTTGGTTTCGACGACACCGTGTCGCCCACCGATGCCGTCAAGCAGATCACAATCGGCGCCCCAGTAGGTGAGGCGCTACGCTCTCTCGCATGGCTGGCCGGGGTCTGCAACGCAGCGAACTTTGCTGCGCCAGAGGACGAAAAGACGGCCGCTGCGATCCCTCTGGCCGACCGACCCATCAACGGCGACGCTACGGACTCGGCCTGTCTGCGTCTTTGCGAAGAGCTTGGTGGAGTCGAAGAGTCTCGCACTGGCTGGAACACCGTAGGCAACCTCGCATTCAACTCGAAGAACAAGTTTGCGACGAAGGTCATTCAGTCCGGAGACGCATCGTCGGACCGTATCAACGTCGCACTATCTTCCCACCACGCTGCCAACTTCTCTACCTCTTCCGATGCCATTATTCTCGCCAAGGGAGCGCCCGACATCCTGCTCAAACGCTGCTCGTCCGTCCTTGATGCGAGCGGAGAGGTGCTCGACCTGACGCCAGAGCGTCTCGCACGCCTCGCAGAGATACAATCGCAGTGGGCAGACAATGGTCAGCGTGTCCTCGTCCTCACACGCAAGGTCGTCAGCCGATCCGACCTTCCTGCCACGCTCGACGACGACGCTCTACTCATCGCCACAGCCGATATGACCGTCGTCGGACTCGTTGGTATCGTCGATCCTCCTCGCGCTGAGATCCCCGGCGTCGTGGCTACGTGTCGCGGTGCCGGCGCTCGCTTCTTCATGGTCACGGGTGATTTCCAAAAGACGGCCGTAGCCATCGCTCGTCAATGCGGCATCATCACGGCTCGTCAGGTGTACGGCTTCGACGACCTTTCTGACGCCAACTTGATTCTGCCCGAGTATTCGTTCCTCAACGACAACGCCTCGCGCCCTCAGCTCGCCCTCTCTCTCTCTGGCTCCGACCTACAGAAGATGGAGCAGCACCACTGGGAGCGAGCCACGCGATTCGACGAGATTGTCTTTGCGCGTACGACGCCTGAGCAAAAGCTTCGCATCGTCACGGAGTTCCAGGCGCGAGATGGCGTCGTCTCGATGACCGGTGATGGAGCCAACGATGCGCCTGCCCTGCGTCAGGCCGATGTGGGCGTTGCCATCGCTGGAGGCTCCGACATTGCCATGGAATCCGCGGATCTTGTACTCCTCGACTCCTTCTCTGGCTTCGTTGACGCCATGATGCTCGGTCGCCTCTGCTTCGAGAACCTCAAGAAGACGGTGAGCTACCTGCTCCCCGCCGGCTGCTTCTGCGAGCTCTGGGCTATCCTCATGGCCTTCTTTACAGGTCTTCCTCAAGCGCTCAGCAACTTGCAGATGATCTTCCAATGCGTCTTGATCGACATCGGACCCTCGCTGGCCCTCATCAATGAAAAGCCCGAGTCGGACTTGATGAAGCGCAAGCCGCGCAACGTCAAGAAGGATCGTCTTGCCGACTGGAAGCTCTTGCTCCAGTCTTACATCTTCCTCGGTCTGCCTATGACGGCGATGAGCTTCCTGCAGTGCTTTTGGCTGCTGGAGCGACGTGGCCTGCCGTTCTCCTCCCTCTGGCTCCACTACGGCAACAATCCGCTGCAGAACAGCGACCCGGACCTCTTCCAGGCCAAGCTCAACGAGGGCAACGCCGCTTACTGGTTCACGCTCGTGCTCGCTCAGTGGGGCACTCTGCTCATCGTTCGCACTCGCAAGCTGTCAATCTTCCAGCACCCTCCCTACTTTAAGCCCGAGACGAGCAACTTCTGGATCCTCCCCACAGCGGTCATTGCTCTACTGATTACCGTCTTCCTCAGCTACATTCCTGGGTTGCAGCATGTCCTCAACACGTACGGCGTTCCCGGGGAGGTGTATGGGCTGGGACTGGCGTACGCTGCATTCATGCTGATGCTCGAGGAGGGTCGCAAATATTGTGTGCGTACCTACCCGCGTGGCTTCCTGGCCAAGATTGCGTGGTAGCCGGGGGCGAGTACAGCTTAGATGCAGGCGTAGCACCCATAGATTTGTTGATATATCCATGTCTGCCTTAGACGAAGTCGTACGACCTGACGATTAACGAAATTCGATTGACGACTCCGAAAGACGAACACGTTTCGACGCCGTCTGTGCCCGTAGCGCCGCCCGTGCGCCGACGTTGCTCCACTTTTGCTTGCCGTTCCGTCCGTCTGTCCGCCTGTTGGCCTCGTCTCAACGCGACGCGGTCCTCGATTTCTCCGCCCGCTCGAAGTGACAGACCCAAAGCGGGTCGTCGAGTGAGCGGGCCAGGCAGGCCGCGAGCAGGCGGACGGGCGGGCAGGCGGGCAGGCGGGCAGGCGGGCAGGCAAGGCAGGCGAGGGATCAACAAAAGCATCGTTGATCCACTCCATCTTGCCTTCTTTACCACCATTACCACCACTCATAGACGTTGGCCTGGAGCCTCCCTCTCCTCATCATCACGCCGCTCGTCGTCATCATCGTCATCAGCAGCATCAGCATCGGCTCCTCGTCTCTCTTCATTGCTATACCCGCGCGGTCATATTGACTAAGTCGTCGTCGTAGTCGTGTGCGAGTCGTCCTCGCGCTCGTGGTGAGGCGCTGTCATCATGGCTAGTCGACGTCAGCAGCCGCCCAATGAAGCGGGGCTTCCAGCCTCTCGCTCGACGGCTGCAACGACGAGAATCCCTCTCAGCGTCAAAAATGTTCAGCCTCGAGGTACGGGCGACGACGTGGCCGAGGAAGCGCAATTGAAGCCATCTGCTACCCAACAGCAGCAGCCTACCTCCCGCCTAGCCTCTGCCAAGCACATTGTAGCCTCTCGCTCAGCAGCAGTAGCAGCAGCAGCAGCCTCGAATATAGGCTTGCGCACCCCTCAGAAGCGTGCCATCCCACGCGAGGAGGTTCATCCTCGCAACATCGTAGACGAAGATGACGAGGCGAGTCCACCTCATCCTCACAAAAAGAGTCGATCCTCCAAGAGTGAGAGAGAGGGCGGCGAGAGTGCCAATACTAGTCAGAGCATCTCCAACGAGCTCAACCAGATGAACGTCGATGAAGAGGGACCACAACCACCTCAGCCTCAACCTCGCAACAACACTGAGCCCACCAAGACGGCTGCTACCCCTTCCCTCGCCCCCACGACCACGACCACGCGCATCGACAAGCACTCCCGTCTCTCGGCCGCTGAGCGAGCAGCAAAGGACGAACATACCCGCCTCACTCGCAATGACTGGCGCAAAAAGTACATTGCCGCCTTCACCAAGTTCGCCTTCTACCTCGATGGCTTCGACGACAAGAGTAAAGAAAAGATGACCATTGCCATTCAGAGGTGCGGCGGGCGAGTCGAGCCCTTCTTTGACAAGTCGTGCTCCCACGTCGTCGCCAATCGCAAGACGCCAGCCACAGCTACGACGACTACGGCACCTTCGACCTCTTCCTCTCGCCTTCCCTCTGCCGTCACGCGCAAAGTTGACGCTACCGCCGCCGCCGCCGCCACGGCCGCTACTGGTGCTGCCACCAAGCGTTTCTCCCCGAGCAAAAAGGGACTCGGACGCAAGAATCGCGAGACTCCCCTCCACTCTGACCGTAATCCCTTCGAAGATACCATCCCATCGATGGCCTCCAACGCCAGCGACGTCGTTCGCAAGGCCACTGATCTCGGCATCAAGGTCTGGACGCTCGACAAGTTCTGGACCACGATGAACTTCCTCTTTGGCACTGATGCCGCGAGCACTGGACCGTCGTCCGCCACCAAGCAAGACCTCGCAAAGATGCTCGAACACGAGCGCATCCACGGCACGTCGGAGCGCGACCTCTCGGCACCTCAGAGCGGCTATCGCTACCTCGACAAGCGCAACGACGTCTTTGTCCTCGTGGGCGACGCTACAGAGGAGCATCACGCCATCATCTTTCAGCAGTACGCCAAGCCAGAGGACCCCAATGAGAGGCCGCCCTGGCCCAAGCTCTACGGCGAGCACGAGGGACGATGCCCGTGAGTTCCGGTGCGAGAAGCATAGTATGTGTACACGCTGACATCCATCTCTCTGCCCCTTCGCATTGCGCCCCGCGCCCAGCTTCACCAAGTACAGCCGCAGGAAGGAGCGAGAGCGCGAGCAGCGTGAGGCTGAGGACGAAGCACGCAAAAAGGAACGTCAGGCGGCTCTCGATCGCGCCAAGCTCGAGGCTGCCACTACGCCCGGACCAGAACCCTCGCGCGCTTACCACCGCCTCGACAGCCTTCGTCGTGAGCAGTCCAAGGACAGCCTCCGTGCCAGCGCCTCCCCCGCCCCTGAGTCTCGTGTCTTTGAGCGAGGAGCTTCCCCCTACCAGCTAGCATCGGGCAACAGCGTCAGCGTGGCCAGCAACATGACCTCGGCCCAGTACGGGAGCACGGCTAGTGTCGCTGGCAGCCTCTACGGCTCGCACGGCATCATCGCAGGTGTCTCCACGCCTAGCTTCGCTCTTCAAGACAAGCGTGTCGCTCAGCTAGGTAGGCGTATGGTCTCGGCTGCTTCCCCCGCCAACACCATGACCACTCCAGACGGCTCCCATGCCATGGCTCGTTCCAGCTCCGTCCCTCGAGCTACGGATCCTGTCGCTCACGGCGCCCTCGTCCGCCAGATGCTCGGCATGACGAATGAGAGCCAGAAGGTCCATCACGCGACTCATCCCGCCCAGCCGCACGCACAGGCACCTCCTCGTCAGCATCCCGCCCGTCCTCACGCTGCTGCCGCCGCCGCCGCCGCCGCCGCCGCGCACGCAGCAGCACAAGCAGCTGCTGCCGAGCAAGAGGCAGCCGCAGCTGCTGCCGTCGCCGCCGCTAAGAAGGACAAGGAGAAGAAGGCCTTCTACTGCGAGAACTGTCGCAAGGGCTTCAACAACTTTGACCGCCACATCAGCTCGGCTGAGCATCGTCGCTTCGCCACCAACGACAACAACTTTGCCAATCTCGACAGTCTCCTGGCGCGCCTCATCCGTCCACCCGCTCCTTGGATCCACAAGCCCGAGTGCGAGTACATCCTGCGTCATGCTCGTGGAGAGGACGTCATCGATGATGACGAGGACGGCGACGAGGGCTGCGAGGATGTGGGTTCCATCGTCGGCGAGGATGCAGCGTACGCATACGACGGCGCTGAGCAGGGCGAGGGCGAGGAGTCGTACGAGACGCATGCAGGGCAGAGTTTGGAGTGGAACACGTCGATTGAGGAGAATGAGGGGCACCTGACCCCCGGAACGAGTCCTGGATTGCAGGGCGACTACGACGACGGGAAGCGCGCAGAGGAGGACGAGTATCTGGATCCCTACATCGTGGGCGAGGCGCTTTGAGGGTGCACACACAGCTCAGCGAGCGCAATGATCCTTGGCATCGTCACACACTCACATCATCATCAAGACTACCCCAGCACAGCAAGCCACGATCTACGACGAAGCACCAGGCTTTTCTCACGATCAATTTCATGATTACGAAGCTCCCCGATCCCCACTCCCCCTCTCTCACGCATCATCATTTGTATTATCCAGCATAGCCGCGGCAGCGCAACACCAGCCCCAAAAATCTCACGATGAAATTGAAACTTCTATCTAATCCCATCATAGCCCGCAAGACATTTGTGAGCGCCGCGTCTGACTTACCCTCGTACGAGAATGGAACGGGCTTCCAAGCGGACGGCGCCTCCTCGCTAGCGTCTCATGGTAGCGCCTCACCATGGCGCCTCATCGCAGCGCTCTCTCGTGACACCTTCCCGTGTGGTTGGCTCGCAGTAGCTCCTTGTCTCGATGCTTTCCGTAGACGGGACAGAGCCGCGGCTTGACTTCTCGCTGAGACGTCTTGCGATCACTAACCAATGCTAACAGGGCCGACGTGGAATGGTGGGAACGCTATGATAGCGCGGCGCTCGATGGTGGCTGGTAGCGGGGGTACAAGTCACAATGGCCCGGTCAAAACCTCTTCGCGCCGAAAGTTGGCAGGCAGCCATCGCATCTATTGCGACACATTTGAAAGCAGGCGATATGGTTGCGGGCACGCGCGCAAGCGTGGTTCCGGTGGTAACGAGTAGGGGTCCAGATGGAGCGATTGGAAACGACCACAAGCTGCTACATGCAGCCACGCTCAAATGTCGAGGGCGTTAGATCTGGCAGGCCGATCTACATACAGCCACTGCGTCGAGGACCCTCACCGCAAAGTAGCTCCGTCGCTACACCAATTCAACTCTCATCGTGGCGCGCGCTATCGCATGGCGAGGCGTTGTGACACCTAGACCCTTGTTGAACCACGACTTGCTCATCGCATCCGTCTCATCTCACGATACGGACCCTTGATCACTGTATTTAGCCTAGGCACAACCACCAGCGGCGACGGCGTCGCGGTGGGAATAGTGGTAGCTCCGAGGCATCCAGGAGCGCAAGCGGAAGGAGGCGTAGCGTGCAGCAATCCTTGGCGGCATGGTCTGCCAGCCATTTGGGCATCTCGATGCTCACGTCGAGATCGACAACGATCTCGATGGGCGGGGATTGACGGCCTCAAGCTCGTCGCTGCCACTCTGAGCGCGCAGCCTTCTGCTTTGAGCGTGTGCGGCGACGCGCTCCCGCGGGCGACGCGACGGAGTCCAATCGAAGCAGGGCATTAGGGCGCCGCTATCTCGATGGCCTGGCCTGCCTGCGAGCGAGTTCAAATGGTCGCTTCCGAACTGTTGGCTCAGGCATCGATCCAGCTTATAGCAGTAAGAGCAAGGCATGGCTCTGAACAAACAGGGTCGAGGTCGTGAGGGCCTATTGGAGTGCATGCTTCGGCGCAAAGGGCAATGATTAGTGATGGCGATAGGCAAGCGAGGGTAGCCCCTGGTGCTAATTGGACCCAAGTGATGGTCAAGGACGAGAAACACTTTTTTTGAGCGGCAGAGGGCACAAGATGGTGTCTCCTCGCGGATCACGACGTGACGTCTTCCATTGAACATCGCCGTGACAGCAAAGAGGCCGAGATCTCATCGTAGTTGAATCCAGCAGATTGATGGAATGGGCGTCAAATCACCATCTCAGGTCGCCATGATTCGATGGCAAAAGGGGCCGAACAATGGTGGCGCCCGCGCCACGATCCATCGAGCGCGTCGCACGACACCCACTTCCTTCCTTGACCTTGGTCCGCCCATTGTCTATCGAAGCCTCGCGTCGGAGTTTGGATCTCGCTCTAGGGCTTCCATTCGCCGCCGCGTGGCCAGCCCGGGCGGAGCTGGATACCAGAGCAGAGGGCCCGCCGCCGCCCCGTGCAACCCCTTCATCGCCGGATACGGAAGTCCTGGACAGACGATGACTTCCTCACCAGGCTCTAGAGATGATAGCTTGCGCCCCTTTGTCCCCCTTACGCCCGCCACTAATGGCGGCGATGAGCGCCCGCCTCGCCCCGATTGATTGCCCTCCACTCCGCCACCTCAAGGCCTCGCCACTCGACGATGCCGGTTTCACCTGGCCATGCGCGTGCCTCTGCCCGGGTGAGACGACGAGAGGCGGGCGTGCCTTAAGGAGCAGGTGAAACCAGTAGGCCCAACAAACTTGCTCCGACCGTACAGCCGCCACGCTAAGTGGTGTGGTACGCCGCCACACCTTCGACGTCCAGACCGAGATATGCCTATTGAGAGAGCGGCTTGGATCTCAGCTTAGAGCGCAGATGCGCGGGGTTGTGTTTGCGTGGGTTGGGGTGGGTTTCAGCCAGACGCAGATGGGCGCCGCTACCAGACGTTCCAGCCTGGGCCTACTCCTAGCGCTATGGCCGATCCCAGCAGACACCGTCCATCGAGATCTAGGCGATGTTGCCACCCCTAACTCGGCGAGCAGGGAGACGGGAGACTTTTGTATAAGATGGCAGCGATACGAACCCAATCTCTCCCCTTCATCAATCACATCCAGCATACTCTGACATTCACATACGATGCGCGCCTTCATCTGCCTCTTCATCATCGCCTCGGTCCTCTCGACCATGGTCACCGCCCTCCCCGTCGGCTCTGGCCTCAGCAACTTCGCTGCCCCCACCTTCTGCTCACGCTTCGAGCAGGCCTGTGCGACAACGTGCGGCTCAGCGAAGCCTGTCACCGTGTGCAAAGTCAACACCGCTGTCCTCAAGCGTGGCTCGCTCGGCAACCTCTCTTGCAAGGTGAGCGCGCGATGCTCGCTCTGGAAACAGCTTCGTACACGATCTGACCATCATCTGCCCCCCTTCGCCCGCAGTGCTCTGGCAAGTCTGCTACCAGCAGCGTCATCGCATCGATGTTCAAGCCGATGTCCTCGTCGGCCTCGTCAAATTCCACCGCTTCGTCGAACAGCCAGTTCAAGAAGATCACCGGCGCAGGCAACCAGGTCGCCCCTGTTTCAGAGGCCCACGCTACTGCATCCACCGTATCAAGCAGCTCGGGATCCTTCCCTACCGCCCCCACCGTGGCCAACAATGCAGTTGTCGTCCCTCAAAACGACATCATTGGCACCTGGACGTCGTCTACCGCTCCCGCTGCCGCTGCTCAAACCACGCAAGCTCGCGTCCCTTCTATGGCCGCCGTCACTACCAACGGCGAGGCGCCCAAGCCAGTCGTTCTCTGAGCGTCGCTGGCGCGACACGCTCAAGGTTTTAAGCTTCGAGACCGGAACGCGCAGCAGCGTTCCAACCAAAATCCGTCACCTCAAGAGTCGATCCTACCTTGCATTAGGTTCTCGTCTAATCAGCAGTCACGCAGTCACGCATAGCTCTCTCATCGTCATCATTTGGGTCTTCGTCATCTCATAGTCACGCATCCACTGTCATCGATTCCATCGTCACGCAATAGATCCATCGCCGCGCCATTAGGAGCGCTGGTGTTGTCGGGCAATTGGTCCCACCCCTTTCACAAAGACAAAGAAACCCATCGTCTGATTCGTGTGTGTGTGTGCAGAGAGCGGCTCGAATGAATGGATGCGGTCACGAGAGAAGGAGATTTGGCCGCACTGTTGAAGTCGAAGTGGTAGCGTGGAACGGGGGGAGGTCGGAGCGTGAAGCGGAGCCGCGTTGTGGAACCCGCGCAATCCCATGAATCGTCGGAGGCTGGGCCATCCACCAAGCGAGAGCCAAGGAAGCGGGATCGTTAGAGCGTGTCGAAGATGTCTCGCTGAGCAGCATGAGGAGCGAACATCGCTTCAGCAGCGGTCGAGCGAATTGAAGTCTCACCTGCCGCTCGCCACGGACCCTCTCGTCGTTATGCCTCGCCTTGCTCCTTGGCAACAAGTGGCCCCGCCGCAAACGCAGTTTTGCGGTTGCAATCTGCGGCCAGGCCAATAGAAGGGAGCAACGACGTACGATTGGACATTTCTGTGGCAAGTTCCAGATTTCGATGCGATTGCATAGCGATTGAACTCGTTTGATGCTGAGCTTTGCTGTAAGCCACGCCACGCAAGGTGGAGTGGCCCGTAGTGGAACGAGCGAGGCGAAGTAAGCGGTACGGGACTCTGGCTCGCTGGCGAGGGCTCGCGTCCCGTTCACGCCTCACGCCCTACGCACCACGTCCCGCGCCTCTCATCGCTAGATGTCACACGAATTCGGGCGGGCCAGCGAGCTAGTCAATCGACGCAATGTGATTGGTTGTGCGGTGACTGGATAGAGACACAGAGCCAAGGGCGCCAGAGGAGAAAGGGCAATATGATAGTGTAGGGCTACGAGAGGAGAAGGCGAAACGGAGAAAGCAAATGTCCCTGCTGCTACTTTGTGCGCGCACTTAGGCGAAGATGGCCTTGCGACCCTGGCTCGAGGTGAGGACGGCCGGTGCGTTGTGGCCGACACCAGACAGCTGGACGAGCTGATGAGCGAAGTTGACGCCGGTAAAGTCCTTAGCCTTAACGTCGTCAACGAACTCGTTGTCGGAGTTGCCGCCCTGCTGCGACTTTTGCAAGCGAGTAAAGGAGCCGGGGAACTGCGAGTAGTCGCTGGCCTTCTTGCCCGAGAGGATGTTGATGTACTTCCAGTAAGCCAAGGTGCGCGACTTGCGGGCAACACCACCAGCGGCCTTTGCCTCGCACGTCTGGTCACCGCCTCCGTTGTCGTCGAGGGAGACGAGGTAGCGGACGTCGCGCTGAACGTACGACTTGAAGAGCTGAGCCGAGTTCTTGTTCTTGGGGTACGGGATGTAGAAGTCGTCGAGGCCAAAGAAGAAGGAGTTGTAGTAAGGGCACGAGTTGGCGTTGAACGAGTCGCTGGGCCTGTCGCGGGACCAGTAGAGCATCGACGAGGGGTTGCCAACGACGTAACGGATGGGGACGCCATTGGAGCTGCTCGAGGTGAGGGCGGCGTAGCGCTGGAGAGTCATACCACCGCAACCGTGGCCGACAAAGGTGATGTACTTCATGTTGGGGAAGTTCTTGCGGTTGGAGAAGCGGGCAACGAGCTCGTCGAGAGCCGAGAGGGACGAGAGACCAGAGCCAGAGGGGTTGGTCGAGCCCTCACCGAGGCACCAAGCGTTGTTCTCTCCCCATGCGAGGGTGGTCGGGTCGTAGAGTCCCTTGTCGTAGACTTGGTCGAAGAAGAGCGGAGCGATGAGCATCGACTTTGCCGGGGCACGAGCGAGGTTCTGGTTGCGAGCCGCCTTCCAGGTAGTGTTGAGCGTAGTGAAGTAGTCGCCGGCATTGCGGTCGACGCCGTGGATGATGATGGTGGCGGACTCGGTGTCGGCCTCGTTGTGCGGGTTCTTAGACTGCCAGACGAAGAGGTCACCGGCCGAGAGAGGGTATGTGGTAGCGAAGGCACCAACGGGTCGCTTGCTGGGGTTCTTAACCGCCGACGAGGCCTTGGTTTGCTGTGGGTGCCAGGATGGGGGAGGAGGAGGAGGAGTGTCAGCGTGCGCTCGTGGTGTCATTGCTGCGTATGCCCGAGCGGACTTACCGTCTTCTTGATCGAGGATGCGACCGGAGGAGGGGCCGATGAAGGTACAGTGGACTTCTGGAGCTCTCCAAGAGGACGAGCAGGGGCAGGGCGCTTGCCCGTTACAGTCTCGACGAGGGAGCTGATCAAGCCCGGCTGGGCGTGAGGGTGGGGATGAGGGCTGCGGACCTGGATGAAGCCAGCCTTCTCAGCGTTGGCCGAAGCGACGCAGTAGACAAAGGCGACGAGGGCTACGAAGAGCCAGCGGAATGAGGCCGACGACGACATGGTGGTGCGAGAGCAAGAGATGATGATGATGGGTGAGAGAGAGGACGATTCGAGGGACAAGCCAAAGAGTGTATGCCGTGAGCACGCTGCCTTGAAAGAATGAAAAGGCGAGGCGTAGAGGAGATGGAGGATGAGGAGATGGAGAAGAAGGGGCAAAGGGGATGGAGACGGGGACCGAGATGAGATGAGATGGAGGGAAACAAAGGAAGGGGTCCAGGCACGGGGCGTTGGCAACTAAATAGGAGAGCGGGTGGGCGGCAGACGGGGCGTCAATTAGGCGAGGCGAGTAGACGATGGGGTCCGACCACCACGCCGCGACGCCGCCACTCAGCGGCGGCGCTAGGGGGAAAGACGGCGTAGGGCGGCGGCCTTCTTGGCTTGGCGTGGCGTGGCTTCGGACGAGTGCTGTCACTTCTGTTGAGAGCAAGCCATGATCCCGGCCGTTGCGAAAGAGGGTGTCAATATGTCTGCCAACACCAACAAGTCGCGGCCGGCCAACCAACACTTCTGTTTCCTCGAAGAAGCTTCAGACGACGGGCGGGCGGACGGACGGACGGGAGGACACGAGAACCGTGCGCAAATTGCCCTTGAGCAAGGAGAGCAGCGAGCAGCGAGCAGCGGGGCGGTACAAGCTAAGGCGGGCGGGCAGGCGGGCGGGCAGGCGGGCGCAAAACCACTCTCTACTCTACTCCAGGCATGCGGGAGAGGAACCCTAGATCGATGCACAGCTGGTCGCTCCTGCAGAGAAGTCGCCCAGGGGAGCGGGGGGCCAAGAAACCACGGCTTGCTCGAGCAACGCCCCGAGCGTACGCTAGAAGCCCCGCTGGGCCCGTTTCAACCACCCGGGCAGCGTAGAGTCAATTAACTGGCTTCGATGGGCACGGCGGGCGAGGCTTCTCCGAATGTCAGGCGAAGGCAACTTTGGCTTCAAAATGGGGCCTACAGGCGACGTCGAAAGCACGCCAACAGCAGCGGCGACTTCGAGGCGACGGCGCGACGATGACTACGAGTCTACGATGGCCGCAAAGGCATGCTTTTTTCTTGACAGAAGGCAGCAATCGTGCGTAGTCAACAATAACATTGCGCGGCGCAGCGCGACACGGCGAGACATACGGCATGGCATGCTGTTGCAAGGCCAGGCGAGGACGGCCAAGAAAAGTGGGACCGACTGATCGGACGAACGATGCGCTCAGTCCATTCCTTCTCGCCATTCCGTCTCGCTCTCGCAGTCGTAGGGATGAGTGAGACGTCGTCAGGGCGAGCGAGCACGGGGCGCGAGGGCGAGGTAGCGAGGTAGCGAGGCGGCACTGGCATTGCGATTGTGTCGTGTTCATCGTCAACGTCTTGTTCTTGGCTTGGGCTGCGAGCCGGCTTTCGAGGGCGGTGCGATGAGCGATGCCGTGACGCGAGGGGTTCGTGCGAGGAGTGTGTTGTGTGTGTGCGAGGGGCGATCAGGGCAGGCTCAACGGGCTGGCTCAACGGGCTGGCTCAGCGGGCGGCCTGGCCTCCCTTGGATGCTCCCTCCTCGCTTGGGTCATTGATTGGCTACCGAGGCACGGGGAAGCGTCGACGCGAGGAGTGTCCAGGCGTGGGCGTGAGCGTGCGCGGCAAGAGCGTGTGCCTGTGACCGGGCGGAAGGAATTGGGGCCACGCGACAGAAGCGGACGACGACGACGACGACGACGAGACGAGCCTGAAGCGGGGCGGGAAGAGAGTGCGAGGCTGCACGCACGCTGCACGATGTTTCTCACTACCACGACCTCCACTGAATCGCATCGCCGCATCGCCCCTCGCACTGGGAGAGTTCGGTGGATTCTCATGTGGGCCGAGCGAGAGATGCTGTTGACCCTGCGCAGGGCGCGCTCGAGACGGCGCGTCGCATTGGACGACGATCTCGTCTCGACACCTCGTTGGTCGCCGAATTCCTCCTCGCCTGCGCACTCGACGCGCTACGACGACATTGGCGAGGCTCGTCGAGCTTCTTGTCCTCTCGACGACCGGTGAGATCTGGTGTTGATTGACGTACGACTTCGAATAGGGCAATGCGGTACTCTCGACTATCCGCCGTACGCGAGACAGCGGCGAGGGCAGCGCGCAGACGGCAACGGCATGTCAAGCTCATAGCAAGCAAGACAGGCGAGACCCGTGCGCAGACACCCAGGGACGCAGCGATCGAACAGCTTGCGGCTTTGATCACTAGTACCTGGAATAGCATACCGGGGGAACAATGTCGACGTCGGAATAGGCAGATCCTGGTCGCGGAACAAGGCTCAACCTGGCTCAACGTAGCTCACGACGGCTCAACCCTGGGAAAGCGATTGCACACCGATCGCGCACCTCATTCTCATGCCCCGGCAAAGCACACAGACCAACATCCAATGCGACAACGCGACGATGCGAAGATGCGGGCAGACGTCAAACTTACACACATCGATGCCCACGGCATTCCCCATTGCTCGCTCCTGCTCGCTCGACGCTCACGTCAAGTCGACAGCTCAGCGAGGGGATCGTGACGAGGCGTGCGCATTGAGTTCGCATCGAGGCGAAGACGACGACGACAAAGACCTTCCCATGGCGGTCGCACAGGCTTGAAGCCGCGTGTTGTATGGGACAACAATCTACCTTGGCTCACTCTGCCATCCAGGTCTCGCAAAGGGTACAAGAACCCCCCTCGCTCACCCGTCTCTCCAACTTTTTTACCATCTCTCCAAGCCTCTCTTCTCTCCACAGCGCCTAGCCAGCCTTTTCTCTCCCCACTCTCTTTAAGCCAAGCCAAGCCAAGCCCTCCCCTCTTCCAACCAAGCCAACACTCGCAAACATGTTCAAGCACCAAGCCATCCTCCTCGCCGTGGTCCTCGCCGCCATCTCGGTCTCGGCCGCCCCCGCCCACCCTCACCCTCACCCTCACCCTCACCCTCACCCTCACCCTGCGCCTTCGGCTTCGGCTTCGGCTTCCGCCGTTCCGGTGCCCGTCTCCAGCGCCTCTGCCTCGGCCGTCCCGAGCGCTTCCTCCCCTGGTGCTTCCTCCCAAATCGCCTCGGGCGCTGCTGGCGAGCCTCAGTCTCTTGCCTCCAGCGAGGCCTCGGTCATTCAGAGCGTCATCGGTGACGCCACTTCGATCATCTCCTCTGCCGTCGCTCAGGCCACCTCTATCCTCGGCGACGCCGCCGACAACCTCCCCACTCGTCGTGACAGCTCCAACGACGACCTCGTCGACGCTGCCGGTGCCAACGCGGGCATCTTTGGCCTGAACAACATCAAGAACCGTCGCGACGACTCGAGCGACGACGACCTTGCTGACGCCAAGGGAGTCAACGGCGGCATCTTCGCGCTCAACAACCTCCGCCGCGACTCGAGCAACGACGACCTCGTCGACGCTGCCGGTGTCAACGGAGGCATCTTCGGCCTGAACAACATCAAGAACCGCCGCGACGACTCGAGCGACGACGACCTCGTCGACGCCAAGGGAGTCAACGCCGGCATCTTTGGCCTGAACAACCTGCGCCGCGACGACACCTCCGACGACGACCTCGCCGACGCCAAGGGTGCCAACGCTGGTATCTTTGCGCTCAACAACATCAAGAACAAGTTCCGCCGTGATGACTCGGACGATGACCTCGCTGACGCCAAGGGAGTCAACGGCGGCATCTTCGGCTTGAACAACATCAAGAACAAGCTCCGTCGCGACTCGTCTGACGACGACCTCGCTGACGCAAAGGGTGTCAACGGTGGCATCTTTGGCCTCAACAACCTCCGCCGCGACGACTCCGACGACGACCTGGTCGACGCAAAGGACGTCAACGGTGGCATCTTCGGCCTCAACAACATCCAGAAGAAGCGCGACTCGTCCGACGATGACCTCGTCGACGCAAAGGACGTCAACGGTGGCATCTTCGGCCTCAACAACATCCAGCGCCGCGACGACAGCTCCGACGATGACCTCGTCGACGCCAAGGATGTCAACGCCGGTATCTTCGGCCTCAACAACATCCAGAAGAAGCGCGACTCGTCCGACGACGACCTCGCTGACGCCAAGGACGTCAACGCCGGTATCCTGGCGCTCAACAACATCAAGAGGATGCAGAAGGCGCGCCGCGATGACTCGAGCGACGATGACCTCGTCGACGGCAAGGGCTTGAACGGCGGTATCTTCGGCCTCAACAACATTCAGAAGAAGAGGGACTCGTCCGACGACGACCTCGTCGACGCCAAGGACGTCAACGGTGGCATCTTTGGCCTGAACAACCTCCAGCGCCGTGCTCACCCGCACCCCCACCCTCACCCTCACCCCCACCCTCACCCTCACCCTCACCCGACCCTGACGGCCTCTGCTCAGCCCACGGCCAGCGCCAGCGCCAGCGCTCTTCCCGTACCCGTTTCCAGCGGCTCCGCTCTTCCCTCTTCCGTCAGCTCGGGCTCCAGCGGTCTCCCCTCGTCCATCGGCTCCAGCGGTCTTCCCTCGTCGATCCAGTCGTCTTCGATGCCCTCTGCCTCGATGTCGTCGATGTCCGCCTAAAGGAAGCGCGCGAATAAGTGAGCGAGCCCTGCTCCCTCAACCACCACCACAGTCTTTACTCTCTATCTAGTCTCTTTACGCACGCTCCTCGCTTTTGGCTTCATCTTATTCCCTCTATTTGGCTTATCACACACATCTCTTCCTTTGGCTTAGATGCTTTTGGCTTTGGCTGGCCGAATCATCATCCTCTTGGCTCTTCATTATACAATTATCCGCATTACGATTCGAAAAACACCGAGCGTGAAGACTGAGTGACATCGGCGAATAGCGAGCGAGGAATGGAGGGAGAATCTGAGCTTGACGCGCAGGGGATATTGATTGAACCTTGTCTCGACCCAGGTCTCTCGGCGACTTCCTCCGACGTTCATGCCTTCTTCTCGAGACTGGCGAGGAAACGCTTTCGGTCTTCTGCGTCGCTTCCCTCCCACTCTTTCCCATACCCATCGTCGTACGCACGCTTAGCGCTGCTGTCGTTCACCAAGTGATCCGTCTTTCCCACAATGTCGATGAAGCTCCTCAGCCAATACGGCATTCCTCGCAGAAGCGGAAGGATCTTCATCAAACCAGGCATGACCATGTAATGGCTCAGACCCGAGTCGAGGGCGTCTACCATGCGCCTTGCTACTTGGATGGGCTGCAGCGTAGGGTGAAAGAAGGGCATCTCGTGCGACTCCATGCTGTTGCCCATTGTCGTTTGTACCTTTGTAGGGCAGCAGATGGAGGTACGCACGCGAGGGGCATGGTAGCGTGATCGCAATTCGCCGCGCAACACTTCGAAGAAGGCGAGGGAGGCCGTTTTGCTGGTAGTGTACTCGGACATCTGAGGGAGGGACGCAAACGATGCGCTAGATGTGAGGGCCATTATGTGGCCGTGGTTCTTCTTGATCATGTCTGGGAGGAACTCTTTCACGGTGACGAAGTGGGCGAGGGTATTGACTCGCCAGAGTTTGGTGACGTTGGCAGGGTCGGTATCGACGATGCGGTGAAAGGACATGAGGCCGGCATTATTGACTAGCATTGTGACAGGTCCCAAGTGGCGGCGGATCGAGGCGGCCGCGCCAGCCACCGCAGAGGCATCAGCGACGTCGACCTGCGGGGGAGAGGGGCGGAGAAGAAGTGTTCAGCGCGGATTCCATTGCTTTGATCTCGCCTGCTGCCCACCTTGTAGTAGTGAATGGCAGGCGCCCCTCGAGGAGCAGGCGCATACTCTGGCTCGCCCAGGTCGAGTACGGCCACGCGCGCCCGCTTCTCATGACTGAGCAGCTCGACAATCTTTGCGCCTATGCCTCTTGCCCCACCTGTGACGACGACGACCTCTTTGCTCCAATTGGGCTTGTCTGCCTTCCACTCGCCCAAGTTGGAAGCATATCGTTCCAATGCTGCGTTGAGGACGCGAATCAGGCCAAAGAGCCAGGCGAGGGCAAAGAGCGGATAGGCGCGCAGCAGTCCTCGCAGCGTGGCTAGGGAGAGCAGGCGAGGAAACTGTCCCTCTCTGGCAAGTGCGAATAGACGGTGAGCATAGCGACGGTCGAAGGAGTAGAGGAGGGCAGGCCAGGCAAAGACGAGCTCGGGACGAAGGATGGTACGGGCGAGGTGGCGGGCTACCACATCGACTGTGAATGGTTCGCGGAAGCGCAAAGAGGGACGATTGGGTTGATTGGGCCAGCGCTTGACCGCAGAGCTGTTGTCGCTCGACGATGACATTGTGGAGAAGGGGATGAGTGAGGAGCACAAAGTGGCAGCCAGGCGTGGTTGGTAATGACCTCGCGCGCGCGAGGCGAGGCGTGTGCACGGACTTTGGCTCTCGCTCAGTGGAGCCCCGCGGTTCATCTCAGCCGTGAAAGGCGGCGAGCGGAGAGGCGGCGTCGGCGTGAAGGGGCGGCGTGAGCTCCTTTCGATCCTCATTGCCATCTGCGGGCCGCTCTTCTTTCGAGGGTACTTCGAGGGTACGGCTCCATAATGGCGCCCAAAAGACGTTCTCGAACTCGCAAAGCAGGTACACACCCTACTTCGTATCAAGCTCGCCATGCTTCTCCTCACTTCCTTGATCGCATCCCTTTCCTGCCTCTGCCACCTCGTCGCGGCTGAGCAGACGCTGCATCACTTCCACTCTCACCGCCATCATGACCTGGAGGCGCGAGTATTGAACATTGCGCAGAGCAACGGCAATTGGCTGACCCTTGATGAGCTCACCGAGTACACGAGCATCGACAAGACGGTAAGAGATGCTGTCGAGGCTACGCTTGAGGGGAGGCAATACAAGTGGAACAAGCGGGGCAACATGCTGAGCGTCGAGGTGAGACGGTGCGGCGCGCAAGGTCGAAGGAGATGAGCTGAATGCCGACTTCCTGGTTTCGCAAAGGTTCACACACGCTACCTTCACATCTCTCGCAACATGTCCTCTTCTCCTCGTCGTCAGCTCACAAGCTCGTACTCCAGCAAAACGACGCCAGGATCGAGCCGTCTGTCCACCCCACCGCTCGCGCAGCAGCAGCTCCTCCTCTACGCCGCATCGCCCCATCCTGCTGCAACGTCACCAACGTATCCCTCAATGCCTCTCCCAGCTCTACAACTTCGCCAATGTCACCAATTCCACCCGTCCCGACGACCCTAGCATAGGCATCCTCGCCGTCTCTCGCTCCCCCGCAACACGCGGATTTCGCCAATCAGACCTCGACCTCTTCCTCTCGCGCTACCGTCCAGAGATACACGACTTCAAGCCCGCGGCCATCGAGATCAATGGAGGCAAGTATAGCGAGGACAGCGGGAGCGGCGAATCTGCGCTCGATACTCAGCTCATCGCGGGCTTGACGGCGCCTACGCCTATACGATTCTACGTGACCGGCGACTATGACAAGGACATGTTTGCTACCACGTTCGACTACCTGATGGAGGATGAAAAAGGGCCCGCAGTATTCGCAATGGCGTACGGCTTGACGGAGAGGACGATAGCGACAAAGGAGGCAGCGCAGGCCATGTGCGAGACGGCGATGCACCTTACTGCGCTAGGCACGACGTTGGTCGCTGCGAGCGGCGATAATGGGGTCAATGGCGCCACGGTGGGGCCCAAAGACTGCCCACCATTCATCCCTACATACCCGAATGGCTGTCCCTACATCCTCAGCGTGGGAGCTACCTACCACTTCGACCCGGAAGTCGTGCCCGACAAGAAGGAGGTGGGATTCTGGGGTGGAGGCGGATTTTCGCGCGTCTTCCCTAGACCGGATTGGCAGAGTGAGGCGGTGAGCAGCTACGTCAACAAGAGCGCCTTGCCTCGCGAAAACTTCAATGCTGCTGGCAGAGGGTATCCTGACGTGGCGGCTCAAGGGTCGTTGCACCGTGTCATCTTGGATGGCAAGGATGCGGTGGGTGACGGGACGTCGGCAAGCGTCAATACCGTGGCGTGTGAGCAAGCGCGAGATGCACAGCATGAAGCTGCCCATTGCTGACCCCTCGCACGACTCCTTCGCGCGGCCAGCTATGGTCGCCCTCCTCAATTCCGCCCGCAAGCGCGCAGGCAAAGGAACGGTAGGCTGGGTCAATCCCCTCCTGTACCGTCACGCCGACGAAATTTTCACCGACGTAACGCAAGGCGGCATTTACGGGTGTGGCCCGGGCAACGATGCAAACTTGGGCTTCGAGGCGAGCGCAGGGTGGGATCCGGCCAGCGGACTGGGGACGATTGATTTCGAGAAGAGTGAGTGCGGCGGACAGGAAGTAATAGCCAACGCCGCGCTGACGTTCGACGCTTCTCGCCCGCAGTGCGCCATGTATTTGACGCTTAGAGGGCGAATCGAAATGCCAGACTCTTGTTCCCCGCATCCTTGTTCGCGTCGAGGTAGGCCACCCTCTCCTCCCTGGTCATCTGATCCCACAGCCTCGCCTTGCTCGCATTGCGCCAGCGATAGTAGAGGTAGACCCCGATGTACTGGAGCAGTACCCCCGAGCAGAGCAGCGCCATTGCCAGATTGCCCCGTCGATACTCGGGAGCATCGCTGGGCTGGTAGACGTTGACGCCAACAATGACGCCGAGCTGGACGGCGACGTTGTACACCGCAGCGGAGACGGAGCGATTGGCTACGCTACCGGCATTGCGAGCTATCCAGGCTACCTGGAGGGGTTGAACGTACGGCGCGCCGAGTTGGAGCGTCGCGATAGCCCAGTAGACCCAGGGACTGGCGCTTGCGGGGAGCAGGAAAAGCGCTACGTAGCAGGGGATGGACCAGAGGTTCTCCGTTGCGCACACAAAGGTGCGGTGATTGAGCCTCTCGCTCACGATGGGCGGGATCATCATGATCAGAACAGCCAGTGCCGGGCCTGGAATGGAGAGTGCGTTGGTGACTGATGTGGTGAAGCCAAGTCGCTTGAGCTCGAGCGTGAGGTACTGCTGGACGGGGATCGAGGCGATGAGGAAGGTGAAGCCAAGCGCATACATGGGCCACAGATCGTAGTCTAGGAGGCAGCGCTTAAAGGCCGGCCAATCGATACCCTGACGGTTGTGCATGTCCCCCTTTGTCGGATCGTCCCGCAGTACGCGATTGACCATGATTGTCTCTTGTCGCTCGCTGAACCACCCGCGGGGATAGAGCCAATTGCGCGACTGCGTAGGCCCGGCAGGCATATGGAAGAGGGCAAACACCCCCACGAGGAGCGTAAATAACCCCTCCACCGCATAGAGGTAGCGCCACCCTGCGTAACCGCCGTAGCCGCGGAGCTTGAGCAAGCCTAGTGCGGCGAATGGGCCCAGGATCTTGACGAGGTAGTTGGAGAGCCAGAAGATGGTGAGGCGTGCGGGCATTTCGCGACTGGTGTAGAAGTAGGAGAGCCACAGCACCATATCCGGGATGAAGCCGCCGGAGAAGATGCCGATGAGCGTGCGATACGTCAGGAATGAGGCTCGAGAGCGCATGCTGAATTGAGCTATCGAGAAGGCAGACCAGGCGATGAGTTGGATGGGTACCCTGTGTGCGTGCGCGGCAGGCTTGACGTGAGTACAGGTCTCGCCGCTGGCTGAGGCATCGCAGCGTGAACACTCACCACCTGTCCACCCCCACGCGCTTAGCCACCATCTGGCTGGGTAGCTCGGCGAGCAGAAATCCCACACGAAAGAGCGTCTGGCCTAGATTATAGTCTGCCGTGCTCAGCCCCAGGTCGCGCAACATTCCATCGCTATTGGCCTGGGCAATGTTCTCTCGATCGAGGTCCATAGCAAAGAACATCACAAAGGCGAGGGCTAGGATGCGCCAGTCGAGCTTGCGGATCAGGGAGCGTTCCTCGCGATACGTCCAGCGACACAAGGGGTCGAGGCGAGAGTTGCCCTCCCACTGAGGGTGGGGCGTGTACGCCGAAGCGAATGAGGGGTCGTCGAAGACTGAGCGGCGCGTCGCGATGCCGTCGAGGTTGGCGGCGCGATGTCGGGAGAAGAGGGAGGAGACGGAGTGTGGTTCGCAATCGTCGTCTGGGGCTAGGGGAGGAATGTAGGGCATTGGCGCCTCGCTGCGTTCGCCTTTACTCTCGGTGCTACCTTCGCTCTTGATCGACGAGTCGGCGCGCTGCGAATCAGTCAACGCGTTGCCGCCTTCGACGATGAGGGCATCGTGAGGCTCAGGCCGCGAGCTGTTGGCTGCGGACATGACGGGGAGATGGTAGTGCGACAGGAAAGCAAGGCGCGTACGAGCCAGTGTCCTGATATTCTACTTTTCGTCGACGCTATCGCCTCCTCGAAGCTGATGGATAGGCCTCCGCTGAGCAATCTCGCATCACGCCATCCCTCGATCACTCGCGGTCGTGTGCGGCGTCAATTGACCGCAAAGCGAGGCACACGAGCCGCGAAGGTCACGATCACGATGATCGTCTTGCGATTCTCACGCTATCTGGTCGTCCTCGTTGTCATTTGCTGCCGTCATCTGCTCGCAATACTGGGGACTAAAGCCGCTGAAGACGGCCACCCCAGGGTCACGTTTGCTACCCCGCCGAGCTACCATATGTCGCCCGACCGCGAGGCCAATTTGCTCGCCATCCCACAACCCTCCGCGGTAATAGCAGCGTCGATTGCTCGCAATTCGGGTCGACAAGGCCGCTCGACAACCTCACAATGGCCACCTCGCACGTCAGGGTCACTTTTGCTAGAATGACGAGCTAACCTGCCGCGGACGGCGGGAGACTAGCCGATTCGACGGGACGCGCTTGGCTGAACCGTCGGCGTGATGATGACGAGCTATGAGCAAGCGCGGCGCAACGAGGGCATGTGGGAGATGGATCATGCCCCTTATCTTCGCTCGAGAAGATATCAAGGCCAGAGATGTGACGATCACCTACCCGCACTCCTCATCATCACCACCAGCGGCGCCTCCTCGCAAATGTCACCCATCGCTACCTCCGCGACCACCAACGGCGATTCTTCGCCTTCGCCTCAGCACCGTGTCCCCCTCCAGCTGACGGGCATCCTAGACGATATCCCTTTCGAGGAGATCACCCCCGTCATCGGTCGCGAGTATACGACGCTCGATGTGCGTGACCTCCTCAAAGACCCGCAATCGGATGCAAAGCTGCGCGAGCTTGCCATTATCAGTATGTCTAGCGCCTCGAGCATTCCGGTCGCGCTGCGCTCAACCCCCCCTCGTCGTCCTCGCCGCCAGCCTCCCGTCGCGGAGTCGTCGCCCTTCGCAACCAGAGCGTGACCCCGCAAGAGCAACAAGAGCTCACCGCCCGACTCTCCCTTCTCTCTGGTACGCCGGAGGAGTCTGGTCTGCACATCCACCCCGTGTTGAATGGGCAGCGCGACAAGGCTTATCGTGCGACGGGGCCTAATGGCGAGGCGAGCGCAGACGATACGATCAGCGAGTTGCGCGAGGCCATCGGCGTGATCGCATCTACCGAAGGCTGACCCGCTCTTCCTGCGACCCCCGCGCCAGGCGTCATCTCTTCCAACTTCCGCAAAAAGACCGACGATCGCCTCGCCCAAATCCAAGGCGGTGCCGCTGGAGAAATCCACAGTGACATAACCTTTGAGCCGTACCCTTCTGACTTCTCCACGCTCAACATCCACACGAACGTGGACTGTGGAGGCGATACGGTCTTCTACAGCGGCTACGAGGCTTATGATCGACTCAGCCCGGCCTTTGCGCGTTTCCTCGAAGGATTGGAAGGACGCTACGCCCAGCCTGCGTTCCAACGCATGGCGAAGGAGGGCGGGTTCCAAGTGCATGCTGGACCCAGAGGTCACGCAGCCAACGTCGGCGGAGACCTGTCTGCTACGCATCCCGTGATCCGTACTCACCCTGTGACAGGATGGAAAAGCCTCTTCGCCGTGGGAGCGCACTTTGAGTCCTTCCCCAGCCTACGACCCGACGAGTCGACGCTATTGCGCGCCTACCTCCTAGATCAGGTGGCTACGACGCACGCTGCGCAGGCCAGGGTGAAATGGCAGGACACGAGCGAAGGGAAGAGCACGCTAGTCGTCTTTGACAATCGCTGTGTCTTCCATGCTGCTACGCCCGACTACTTTAGCAAAGGAGGGCATCGTGTGGGCACGCGCGTCGTGAGCGTAGGGGAGAAGCCCTACTTTGATGCTGGGAGCATCAGTCGTCGCGACGAGCTGGGTGGGGAGCGATACATCTAGGCGCGTGTGTGTGTTTGTGTGTGCGCGAGCGCGATCGCGCGTGCGCTACTGTGCGATCCATATTCCATGCTCTATGCTCAAATCTATACATGACCTCACGGCGTCGCTGCTGAATCACGGCGCCGCTACACGCTCTGCCTCGTCTCCACACCACGATCGAATCCCAATCCGGCCTGCCCAGCACTGACCATTCTCTCCACCTCCTCTCCCCCCCACCCCTGCAACACCGCCTCTACATCCTTTACCTCTTTCACCGCCTCTGCGCTGAGCACCACATTCTCCCCGCGCCCAACAGCCACATCGTCCTCGACTCTGATCCCTATCCCCCTAAAAGCGCGAGGCACAACACTGCGCAGCCCCGTCGTGTCCTCTGGTATGTAAAGGCCCGGTTCGACCGTAATGACCATTCCTTCCTTCAGAGTCGTACCCCTCGATACCGTCGGGGTGTCATGCAGGTCGAGTCCGAGGAAATGGCCGAGATAATGCGCGTAAAAGCATCGCTCTAGCTCGCCCAGCGCCAGGTCGAAGCCCAACTGACGCAGCTCGACGCGAAGTAGCTCTACGGATCGTCTGTGCAAGGATGCGAGGGAGTAACCATTATTGGCGACAGCTAGTGCGGTGCACTGTTTGAGGACCGAGAGGAGGGCAGAGTATAGGTCTCTTTGCGGTTCGGTGAAATGACCACTCGTCGGCCATGCACGGGTTATATCGCTCGTGTAACCTGCGTGCTCAACGCCGGCGTCTATTGTTACGAGGCTGCCTTGCGGGGCTGGATGATCGTTGCTCGTGTAGTGGATGGTACAACCTCTTGACCCCGCGGCGACGACGGGCACGTAGGCGGGTCTTTGTGCACCGAGGAGGGAGGACGTGTACTCGAAGTGGGCTTCGAGGGCTGCTTCGCTTCCTGCGCTTGGGGACTGGGAGAAGCGCATCGTGCTGTTATGCGCCAAACCTGCTATCTGCCCTGCGCGACGCATTAGTCTCAACTCGGAGGGAGACTTGATGAGGCGATGCGAGTCCAAGAGCGGGGCCAAGTCGTGCGCTTTTGCCAATAGCTTGACGACGGCATCGAAGTCGGTCTTCTTTGAGAATATGTCGAGTGCAGAGGGGGAGGGTGGGGAGAGGTAGTTGAGAAGGTTTTGCGATGTGGTTGCGTTGCTCGATGTGAGCTTGGACGTCTTGCGAGGGATTGTTGGGCAGAGTGGCGGATCGTAGTAGATGGTGGATGCGCCAGGGAGTGTGGCCTTGAGGTATTCGAGGAGTGAGCGCCCATCTCCATCTATATCAATGGCCTCGTCTGCTCCAAAGACATCTACTGCGCCATCCGTGCCTGTTCTTGGCCCGTTCCAAGCTTCGTACCCTGCCTCTCTCGGAGGGACGAACATGGTCATTTTGAATCCGCGAGGAGTGCTGGCCCGCTTCTCAAGCACAAGGGCAGCATCCGGTTCGTTGAAGCCGGTCAAGTAAAAGAAATTGGATGCTTGCCTGAAGCGATAGAAGATTGCTCCGCTCATATACTTGACTCGTCCGCCCATGACGAGGACGACTGAGCCGTCTGGGATGGCATCGACGAGGTTGCGGCGCCTTGCCTCGTATTCAGCGCGGGTGATGCCTGGGGTGAGCTGTGATGAGGCTGCATCGCCGCGTAGGGAGTGGTGGTAGTCGTGTGAAGGGGTGAGGCTGCGTTGAGGGAAGAGGGAGGGGAAAGGGAGGGCGGTATCGTAGGCTGGGAAGAGGTGAGGATGAGAAGAGGGAAGAGGTTGGCCGTACTGGGTGCGCTGCGAGTTGGGCGAGGGCGAGGGGGATGCCGGGTGTATGTCAGAGAGGGGGCGAGCTGCAGACGAGGACGAGAGGGAGCGCAGCAAGACCTTCGACGTTGATGCTCTTGACGATGCCATGCTGTGGGCCGGGTAGGTGATGGTAGTGATCAAGGTCTCCGTTCCCCCTCGCTCGCCTCCTTGTCAGCCCGCAACTCGATTTCTTGGAGCTGCGTCGTCCGATGCGGGGCGGCGGGCCACGCGACGTGGGCGACGGCGTCCATCTCCGTGCACAAGACGGGCGGGCGGGCGGATGTTGGTTGCGAGGTTGAAGCGTAGAGCGTGGAGCGTGGAGCGTGCGCAGCTGTCGCCTCTTCTTTGGCTTCCTCGCCATCACCATCATCCTCGCCACGATGGCGTCCTCCTCGTCTTCGTCCAGCATACCGTCCGCGGCAGACTTCTTCGTCCATAGCATCCCCTCGCTGGCCAACTCGTCCTCCCTGCTCACCTACGCAGGCTATCTCCCCGCTCGACCCGATGCCAAAGACGATGCCCACCTCTACTTCTTCCTCGAAAAGGCACGTCATCTCGGTGCGGGCAAAAAGAGGCGACTAATGCTTTGGTTGAACGGCGGGCCTGGTTGCTCGTCCTTTGACGGCTTGATGATGGAGATCGGCTCATTTCGACCCAGCATGACAATCAAGGAACGCCTCGAGTGGACCGTACCCGGCGGAGCATGGAACGAGTACACCGACGTCCTCTTCCTCGACCAGCCCGTGGGGACAGGATTCTCTTACACCAGCACGGATGGATACGCCCACAGTCTCGGCTCAGCAGCAAAGGACGTCGTCCATTTCCTCAAGCAGTTCGTTGCAGTCTTCCCCGAGTATGGCGCCGACGCTGGCTGCGACTTTTTCATCGCCGGGGAAAGCTACGCGGGGCAGTACATCCCCTACACGGCCGACGCCCTCTTGGCAGACCCCAAGAACCCGCTCGCACTTCAAGGCATTGCGATAGGCAATGGAGCCATTGACCCTCGCTCCCAGGCAGGTTCAGAGCTGGACATGATGATCGAGAGCGGCGTGTGGAAAAAGGGTGGGCGCGAATACAACGAGATGAAACCAAAGAACGACGTTTGCGAGGCAGAGAAGCGAAAGCTCAAGGAGGGAGAGCACCCGCAAGAGATTGACGGCTGCGAAGGTCTACTACAGGACATCATCGAGCTCACCTATCAACCTGCATCGCCTTCCTCCTCCTCCTCCTCATCACCGGGTCGATGCATAAACATCTACGACACCCGTCTAAGCGACACCCATCCCGCCTGCGGCATGAATTGGCCACCCACCCTCGCCCCCACCTATACCTACCTGGCCAAACCAGAGGTACGCAACGCATTCCACGTATCGGCAACACACCACCCGGAAGCATGGATCGAGTGCTCCTCTCGCGTCTCTGCAGGGCTAAGCGACAAGTCTTCGCCAGCGAGCGTTACGCTGCTACCTGGGCTACTGGAGCGAGGGATCAAAGTCCTCTTGTTCGCAGGCGACCAGGACTTGATCTGCAATTGGATCGGCGTAGAACGCGTGGTACAGAACCTCCACTGGTCCGGGACCACAGGGTGGGGCTCTTCGCCCCCACCCAAGCGAAGCTGGACAGTCAATGGCACTTCAGCCGGCTGGTGGCAGGAAACGCGCAACCTCACCTTCGTCTCCGTAGCCGGTGCGAGCCACATGGTCGGCTTCGACAAGCCCCTCGAGTCGGCAGATATGATCCTCCGCTGGATGTCTGCGCCAGGGGATCAGGACCTCGTGCGCGGTGCGGCTGGACCTAGCGCTTTGATCCCTAGCACGCTAGAGGGGGAGAGGGAACGACTCGTCCTCAGCCCGGCGCCGCCGCCTAGCGCTGCAGGCGGGGTGGGGGAGGTATCGCCCGGTCAGCAAGGCAAGGAAGGGATGATCGTGGGCGCAGATGGGAAGAGTGAGGCACAGGTAGCCGAAGAGGCTAAGTGGGCCGCGTACTATAATGCGGGGAGTGCGGCTCTCGTTTTCCTTATCCTGCTCGTGGGGTTCGGGACTTGCTTCCTCTTGAGGGGCAGGAGGCGGATGATGCAGAGGGGGTTGCATTTAGGCGGGGTCACAGGTGCGGGCACGGGCGCGGGCGCGGGTGCGAAGGGTGGGTCATTTGCGCTCAATGGTGGTGGAGGGGAGGGGTCCTTGGATGAGCAGCATGAGTTGAGCCATCTCGTCGCCAATCAGGAGAGACTGAGCGAAGACGACGACGACGATGAGCAGGAGACGGGTGGCGGACGTCGTGGGAAGCGTCGTGTGCGCATCGGAGGGGAGACGGACCTTGAAGCCGGGCAGAGGCGTGATCCCCCTCCTCCGTCTTCTTCTACTGCGAGGGGCAACGCCGCGGCGGCGAGAGGGAGGGAGGAGCTAGACGATAGCGAGCAGCTCTTTGATGTTGGTGACGACGAGGATGACGAAGATGACGAGGATGATGAGCACGAGAAGCGGGGCAAGTAAAAGCGCAAACGTAGCGACGCAGCGACGCAGCGACGCAGCGACGCAGCGAGGGTGCGACACCTTTTTCATTCAATCTAATTCACGGGCGTGCCCCGCGCGCCTCAGTACACCCTCACGCAACCCTCTGCGCCCGCTAGTCCGACCTTGACATCCTCTCCCTCCCTTGCAAGCAGCGCAATCTCCTCGACGGCGTCTCCTGCCTCCCACCCCGTGTACTCTTCTGCCACCCGCGGCGTGAGGGCGGCGTCCTCCTGTGCCGCGTCCCACGTAAGGCGATAGGGCGTCCCATCCGTTGTGGCAACGACTACGTCCGGCGGTCCTCGCGAGGTGGTTGAGGGGACGAAGCGAACAGCATTTACGCCCGAGTCATTGCGGCGGACGATGCAGTGCTCCCTAATCACAGGCATCTCCTCGCTCTGCTCCTGCTCATCTCGATCCTCATGCATCCTCCCCACCATCTCCCCAATCCTCTGCATCCCCTCACGCCCAATCTTAAAAAGTCGCACAAGCCCCGTCTTCGTGCCTGCAACAATCCAGCTCGATGCGCCCTCCTGCTTGTCGTCGTTGTCGTGGTGCGCGAGCATGATATCCAACGCCCAAACGGCGCTACTCGGCACGAGGGCCCAATGATCCGTACTGCCGGGCGCCGTCGTCCCATCAGGGAGGTCTGAGGGGTACGTGGTGGGGGGAATGTGGGGAAGGGAGAGGGAGTGGATCGCCACTTGCGGCTGCTCGTCTTCGTCCGCCGGTGAGGGCAGGGCATCGATGCGCAGCGCGAATGGCTCAATGGACCCATTAGCGCAACCTGCCAATACCAACCAACTCCCCGTTGCCTCTCCCTCATCCCTAGGCAGATCCTTGGCAGGAAGCGGTAAGATGGCCAAACTCTCCACTGGGCTTACCCTGCTCGTATGCAAGGTGCGTAGACATTTTCCCCCTGGTACGTCCCAGAGCTTGAGGGTGCCGTCTCGACTGGAGGAGAGGAAACGTTTGCCCCGCCCGAGGATGGAGAGGCTACTTACGGCGCGCCTGTGGCCTTTGAATTGGCGGGCGGGGCTCGAGGTAGGAGGCGAGGTCGGATAGAGGCGGATGAGCCCGTCATTCGTTGACGTGAGGATCACTGTAGGCGAGGGGGCAAAGGGGGAAGGATCAGCGTCTACGGATCAGGAGGAGGCAGTGAGCCCGTGGCTGGCTGCTCCTTACTCACCCTTGCCACTGGGAAAGAAGCGAGCGCACGTTACGTCTCCTACATGCCCTTTCACGTCGACCATCTTGAGCTGAGCCGCCGCCGCCGCCCTCTTCTCCGCCATACGTCTCTGAGCCTTCTCCTGTACACTCTCTATTGCATCGCCCCTACCGCTACCAGTACTGCTCTGCGCCCTCTTCTGCGGCAGGACTAGGGACCCCAATCGACACTCCGCCTCCTCCCCTGCAACGACGAATGAATAGCCACCACTCTCATCATCCTCCGACGCCGCGACATCGAATGCGCTGATAGATCCGCCGGCGCCGCGATCCAGTGCAGCTTGTGAGCGCGTCCCCTTGAGGAGGCGAGACAGCGTGACGCAGGGGAGACGTAGACGTACCCCGTGCGAAGGGAGATGGGGGCTATTCTGTAGATGAAGGGGCGAGGTAGGTGGATGTGCCGAAGTCGAGGCTCCAGGAGTCGAGACGAACAAGTCCCTCGCTATTCCCTTCTCGCCCTCGCCCCCCTCATCCGCCTCCTTCACACTCAACAACCCCTTTCCCCCCTTTATCAGCTCCAGAGCAATCGGTGGGCTCGCACTGGTATCACCCTCCCGCTGGCTGAGCCGCAGTGTAGCATGTAAGCTCTTGGACGGAGCATTCTCCGCGTAGACGCTCAGGAAGACGTCTTCTGCTGAGACGGAGCCGGAGGAGATGTCGGCGTGGACATCGAGGTAGGTTGGTTGGAGGGTTGTGTAGGGGAGTAGGAAGGAGCGCGGCGGTGCAGGGCTGGTTGATGACGATGATGATGAGGAGGAGGCCATCCTGAAGAGATGAGGGAGGAGAAGGAGGACAAGGAGCGCGAGAACCACGCCGGGCTCCACGCAAGCGCCTGTGGCCTGTGTGAGCGGAGGGTGGGAGTGGGAGGACGGAAGTGGCCACGTGGAACGAATGCGAGGACGGACGGACGGAGAGAAAGCCAAGCTCGCCCTCCCGGAGTGGCGCACCCTTTTGGCTTGGTCAGGTCGTTGCGAAGCGACTCTCGCTCCTTCCCATCCTATTCCTGGCATTCATCCTTCCTCTCATCCAATGCCGCGCGCCAACGGATCAGCCAGTCGGGACTGTGATGAGGCCACCCCTCTCCTCTTCTCGAATCACGGCGCCCCACCACCTGCGCATCGTTCCCCTCCTCGCCTGTCGGATCGCCTTCTCCCATCGGAATCGTGGCCTGCCCTCCTACAGCAATGCGTCCTCACTGGCCTATTCGACGCCATTACATTCGCCAGCATGCGTACATGGGTCGGATTCATGACGGGAAACCTCACACAGATCGCACTTGCGCTCATCGATGAGATAGGCGACGGGCCGTTGGAGATCGGAGGGACTAGTCGCTTGACAAAGAGCGTCGTAGCATTGGCCGGGTACTGCGCAGGGGCATATGGGATTGCGGCCCTACTTCGACTGCTGAAGAGACGGCGTGCCCGCTCAGAGGGACGCAATGATGACTCCAGCTGCTATGACTCTGCCCCCTCGCGCGGCTGGTACCTCTTCATCTCGCTCAGCCACATCGTCTTCTTCTCCTTGCACTTCCTCCTCATCCGCCTCTACCCGAGTAGCCCATCAACCAATCTCGCCCTCGTCTCACTAGCCCTCCTCGCCCTCCCAATGGGATCACAGACCGTCCTCTCTCTAACGCTAGGCTCTCCCAACCCCTACAGCACAACGGTGGTCTTCACCTCGAGTCTCGCAAACATGTGTGCCGACCCTTCCTTCCCCCGCGGGCTAATCCCAGGGTCAGATCGCTCCAAATCAACACTACGCCATCGTGCCATGAGCATCTTTGCCCTCGTCTTCGGCTCCCTGTTAGGTGGCGCCATCATTCTCGCCGAAGAGCGTTGGACAGCTGCGCGTGCTCCGGCGAGGGGAGAGGGAAACGGACGCAATAGCAGCGACGATGATGCTGCGCAGGGAATTCTGCCTACTACGTGGGCGTGCGTTGTAGTCATTCTGCTCCAGACGGCAATCGCTGCCAGTTGGTGGACTGTTCCCGCCAAGCCGGTTGAGGAGGCTAGGCGGGAGGAGGACGACGACGAGGAGGAGGGGGCGTAGACGCGAGCCGCACGCACGCACGGACATGCTAGAGGATTTACGACATGCTAAATTACACAATGCAATGGAATGATCCGCACTTCCGTCGTCTTCGTCGTCATTGCGAGGTCGTGGTGAATCGCGGCAGGAGGACAGCGAATGTGAGGTAGCTCGTGTGGCCTCGCATCGTCGGGTGGACGCGAGAGTGAACGTTGCTGCGTATGATGGGGACACCGTGCCCTGACATGGTGATCTTGGACGTTGCGCCCTTCTGATCGTCGTCGTCGTCATCGTCTTCGTTGTCGCCCGCGGGTGAGTCGTCCCTGCGCTGTCGCTTGGCGGAGTGAGAGCCATTGCCTCCATTCTCCTGGTGCTGCTTGTCCTCGCCGTCCTCGTCTGCCCCTTCGTCTTCGCCGCGAACCTCATCGCGCTGCTGCCCGGCCTTGCGCGCCTTTCTCTCCAATGCGCGTCTTCTCTGCAACTCGCTAGCCTTCCTCCTCTTCTCCCCTACCTCCCTCAACCTCCCCTTTACCTCGCTCACATCCCTCCCCTCCCCTCCTTGCCCAGAAAAGACACTCTCATGCGTCCTAACAAGACACTCGTACGTCTCCACCTCCCTGAACCCACAACAATTCAACGCTTTCACCGTACGTAAGACCTGCTCGATGCAAGGGGAGAAACAGCAGACCCTCGTCGTAGAAGAGGGGGAGAGGACAGCCGTTAGAAAGGGGATGGCCTCCCATGGTGCCGGTAGGTCGAGGAAGGCAGCGTCTGCCTGGCCGTTCAAGGAGGAGGGGAAGCCGGAGAGACAGACGTTTCGGTGAGAGAGGGAGACGAGGGAAGGGGTGAGAGAGTGGGAGAGGAACTCCTCGCGAGCACGTTCGGAGCGTTGTAGGTGGAATTCGAAGGAGTAGACGCGGCCGCGGGAGTTTGGCGGAGAGGACGACGACGACGAGGAGGAAGCCGACTCGTCATCGGGTGTAGGAGCGGCTTGAGCTTGGGCTTGAGCGATTCTCGCATCCATCTCAGCGCCAGGGGTGGGAGCCTCCTTGAAAGGTGGGGAAGCCTGTCGAGAGGACGATGAGCCCTCATTAGCAGGCGACCCATCCTCAGCCTCCGACTCCTGATTGTTGCTGCTGCTGCGGGGAGGTCTCGTCTGTACCCTCTCTCCCTTTTTTGCCGAAATGCCCATCCCTTTCAATCCCTTCCACCCATACCCTAGCGCCGTGCCCTTGCGATCCCCATCATCGCTACCCACACACCTAGCGAGGAAATGAGTAAAACTCCCACTCCCCGTCCCAGCTTCGACCACTTTAGCTCCAGGACCCAAGGCGAGCTTGGAAGCTATAAAGCTCATATCGGGCGCGTAGAGGATTTGCGTGCGATGCGGTAGAGCGAGGGTCCAGAGCTCCGGGGTCGGGCGGAGTAAAGTGACGAAACCGCGTGAGGGAGGGGCAGAGTGAAGGACTGAGCCGTATGGTTGGCCGAGGATGGAGGAGTGCGGGAAGACGCCATAGTTGTTTGCGTAGGTTGCGCCGGGGGTGACACACAAGGGGATGGGGGGACGATCGCGCGACTGGGGCGGGGGGCCAAGATGTGAGTGAGTATATGCTGCTGAGGGGGATGCGAGGCTGATCGCGTGGCTCGTCTCTTCTCACCATGTAAAGAATGACCAGATTCCCCTCGGCGATGAAGAGGCTGTCGTCTAATGAGCCGGCCATGGAGGTAGACGTCGAAGCTTGAAGGTCCATCTTGTCGCAAGGAGCGAGGGCGACGTTGAGAAGTTGTGCGGGCGGACAGAGGAGCCATTTTGGCAGCCGCCGCCGCTCTCAACTTTCCCTTTCCGTCGCCACGTGGGCCGCGTCTGATCTCGAGGCAAATTTCCTCTGCCCATTGAACGAGTTGGCGGCGAGTGCGAGACTTTGTTGCTTTGCCATCACTCCATCCATCATCAATCGCCAGGATGCCGCCCACACGCACATCTGCCGCCGCTTCTTCCTCCTCCTCTGCCTCCTCAGGCAAGTCAGCGTCACGCCCCCAACCCTCACGCAAGGGCAAAGCAGCCTGGCGACGCAACATCGACCTCTCAGAGGTGGACTCACACCTCGAGTCGAAACGAACAGCAGAGCGGTTGGGTCTCATCGATTCTGGCGCTGCTTCCTCCTCTTCCTCCTCCTCCTCTGCTGCGCCCTTTGAGCTAGACACGAAAGGGGATGAAGCACTAGGCAACAGACTGAGGCAAAAACGCACCAAGCGACCCTTGAAGAGCCTACAAGTCCTCGAGAACGAGAGTGCCGTACCCGCCTTCAATGGGAAGCGCTCCTCCTCCTCGTCCTCCTCCTCCGCTACGTCGTCGCGCAAGGGGACGGGCAAAATGAGCAAGAGCGAAAAGGAACGTCTCACTCGCCTGGCAAAGCGCGACATCAAGGGTGCATTTGGCGTAGTTGTGGAGCCCGAAGTCCAGCAGGGGCAACGCGCGATGCAGAGTGTCAAGGGAACGGTGATGCGCACACCGGAGGAGGATGCGTGGCAGCGTGCCGTTCAGAGTGTTGAGGGTGCGGCTGCGGGTGCGACCTCTACGTCGTCGTCTACGAAGCGTAGTGTCCTCCCCTCTCTCTCGAAGCCAACGACGGCCCAGTCATACAATCCGACGGCAAAGAGCCACGAGGAGCTCCTCCAACGGGCATACGAGGCTGAGATGAAGCGATACGCCGAGGAACAGGCGAATAGGGAGTACAAGGAGAAGTGGAACGCGGGAGGGGCTGCGGCTGCTGAGGATTCGGAGGGCGCAGAGGGTGCGAAGCGATGGGCGGGCATGCTGATCGACGATGCAGAGGCTGCGCAGGAGGACGAGGACGAGGAAGAGGAGGAGGCGTCCACAAGCCGTACCAACACGGCGGCGCCGCCGCAACGCAAGACACGCACGCAACGCTTGAAGGACCAGCGCAGGCAGGAGGCAGAACGTCAGCTCGCTCTGAAACGAGCCCAGAAGATGCAACGCGGCATCGTCTCCCAACTCCCCTCTATGGCCAAGAGTCTCAAGAAACAAGAGGCTCAACGCCTCGCCACCCGCGAAGCGCGCAAGGCCACCGAATTGGATCGAATGGCAGCAGAAGGTCTCGCGGGGCGACGATCGGGCAAACATCTCGTACCACAATCCATGGCACAACGCGATGCGCTGCGCGTTGCACTGGATGAAGACTTGACCGAATCTCTTCGAGCACTCAAGGCTGAAGGGGCCGATGCGGGCGGGGCTTTCCGAGAACGGTGGGATAGGATGGTGCTTAGGGGATTGGTGGAGCCCCGTGTTCCCAAGGGGGCGGGGAGGGATAAGGGGAGGAGGAGGAAGGGTAGGGAGTACGAGACGCATGCGTATAAGCGATTCGAGTAGGTGCCGCAGGGGGGGATGGAGATTGCAGGGGAGAAGGGGAAGGACGATCATGCTCAGCTTCGTACTGGTGGGATTGAAAGAAATTTCGTCACTTCTTGATTGCACCGAAAGATCGTCTCTTCGTCTCTCGTCTCTCGCCTCTTCGTTTGACTACGTCTACACACCCACGCCGCCTCACTCTACGCGGCCAATCGACTAATAACAAACTTGACACCCACAAGACCCTGCGCCACCTCCCCACTCGCGGCAGTGACCAGCCCAACATGCACGCTCAGGGCGGCCTGCGTATCCCTACGCTCCACGGGCGCCACGAGCCCCTTCAAACCTTCAACGATGCGGGGATCCGTCACGAGGCCGTTGTTGATCCAGTCGAAGAGCAGGTTGAGTCGACGCTCCGCATCGTCAACCATGCGCTTCTGTGCTGGGGGTGCCTGAGCTTTAATGCGTGCGAACTCGCGAGTAAAGAGACCCACGAATGGCTTCAGCGCTTCGGGAACGTGAGTGCGATCACCGGGAGGATGCTTGAAGCTCGCTGCGCCTGCCGGTTGGCGGGGGTTTGGCGTGTGAGAGCGCGGTGGGCCTGCACCTGCGCCTGACGCCGAAGGGGTTTGCGAGCGCGGCATCATTCCTGGTGCGCCGGGTGCGCCGGGTGCGCCGGGCGGGGGACGAGCGCCCGGTGGGGGAGGGGGAGACATCATTCCCGCGCCGGGGTGTTGCTGCTGTTGCGCCTGGCCGGGAGGGGGGCCGTACGGTCCGGGACCCGGAGGAGGGCGTTGCTGTTGCATCTGCTGCGGAGGGGCGCCATACGGGCCCGGCTGACCAGGCTGACCTGGCTGACCAGGCATGCCCGGCTGACCCATCTGCTGTTGCGCCGGCCTCGGCCCTCCCAAGGTAGGGACAGAGGGAACAGGAGGAACCATTCCCGCGCCCTGCTGCGGTCCACGCATGCTCGCGGCGCTACCCGCTCGAGGAGGGGGAGGCGGACGAGCCTGGGCTGCAGCCGAGGGTGGACGGCCGTACTGAGGCGGGCCTTGCTGAGCTGGAGTGCCCCCGCGAGGAGGCGGACCTGGTGGCTGCTGCTGCTGCTGCTGGTGGTGGTACTGTCCTGGCTGACCGGGGAAGGAGGCAGGCGTGGCGGCCGGCGAGTTGGGGAATGGACTCATGATGGGCGCACTCTTCCCCCCCGCTGCGCCGCCCTGCTGTCCCATAGCGGACGTGGTGCGCTTGGGCGGGGCTGGCAGGTCGGGAATGTCGTTCCAGCCCCCGTCGGCACGTTTAGGCGGTGGCGGAGGAGGGGCGGGGTTGGCCTGCTGTTGTGCGAGCATGGGCGGAGGGGCGTAGGCTGATTCCTGGATTGGGGGAGGGGCGGGGACCATTGGTTGCGGAGGAGCGTACTGCTGCGCTTGCGCTTGCGCTTGAGGAACTGGTTGGGCGCTGTACGCCGAGGGGTACCCGGGGGCCGAGATGGTCGGGATGGTCGGGATCGACGGGACTGAGGGGACTGCAGGGGCATAGCCGCCGTAGCTGGGCTGCTGCTGCTGCTGGGCGGGAGGGGCGCCATACATGTCGTTGCTCGCAGCGCCGTAGGGGTCGTACGACTGCGTGTAGCCACGCGATGACGACGCCGCCGTCGCGGCCGCCTGAGCGGGCGCTTTACTGGTGGTAGCTCTCGCGCTGCTGGCCTGGAGCAAGCGCTGCCTCGCAGGATGAGCCCCCATACTTCCCGTCCCGCCATTCATCGTCGAGCTAGCCGCCGAGCTCACGTAATCCGCGGGCGTCTGCTCGACGAACTTGAGGGCCGGCTCGATCAATCCTTGGTCGGCTAGGAGCTCGATGTACTCGTGAATACGGTCGTATAGCGCTGCGAGCTTGTACGTTCGTGCTCCCGTCTCTGCGACTTGCGGGTTGGTGGTAGGCGCTTGCAGGTCGGCATCCACGTAGCCCACGGCAGTCTGGAATACCGTAATCTTCTCCATGAACGTCTGAAGCGCCTCGGCGTGCGCAGAGTAGAGGGAGCCGGACTGCTCCACGCTTTGCGCAGCGCCATTCCTGTGCGCGCTACGAATGGCTGCCTCTTCCTCCTTCATCTCATCGATCCACATTCCCGCCACCTTCTCGAGCTTGCCCGCAGCCAAGTAGCAAAGAATCGCATTCTTGCGATGGGCGCGTGCCTGCTCCCCCGCCTGGGTGCCCGCCGCAGACTTGACGTACTGAAACTCCAACCGCTGACCAAGCTGCTCAGCGAGGTTGGAAAAGTCGTCCGACTTGGCAAAGGTGCAGAGGACGACGAAGATCTCCTGCCACTCGTTGAGGTCGGCATTCTGCACCACGTCGGTCAGGTCGTCGGAGACGATGCTCTGGAAGAGGCGGAGATAAGGAAGCGAGGTGGTTCGTCGCTCGAAGTACGTCTTTTGCGTGCGGGCCAAGAGCTCCGGGCCACCACGAACGGCGAGCAGTAGCGCATCCGCAAAGCGATCCGTCGAGATGCAGAGGGAGACGGCGGACTCAAAGTCTCCGAGCACGAGGGCGCGCGTGATAAGCTTGTCCGCGTCGCTCTCGTCCGAGGGGTAGATGCGGAAAGTGCTAGCCCGCAGGTCGGCCGATGCGACGGACGAAGGGCCTGGGCTGCCAGCAGTAGCTGCGACGCTCGAAGCGGGCGGGAAGGAGGAGTGCGGGACGAGGACTCGCTCGGGCACTGCTGAGCGTACACCCGCGCCACTCTCGCCGGAGATGGTGTTGAAAAACTCGATGCCTGCTGCGGGGGCGGCGTTGGCGTTGTTGTCGTCGGAGAAGAGGCTGGGCTCCGTAGGGTCCGTCTCTGCGCCCGTCGTCTTGGCGTCGTTGGAAGAGGCCGTCGTAGTGGAGGTGGAGCTGTGCGTGGGCTCCGAGTCCTGTGCAAAGGACACGACGGGCTCATGCGTCACGTCGCCTGCGTCGCTCGTCGTGGAGCTAGTACGCTTGGCAGGAGGGGTGGCAGGGCCAGACGACAAGCCGGCGAGTGCGCCAGGCCCGCCCGTCTTGTAGGCAGAGATGGCTCGGTTGACTTTTGCGGCCACGTCCTCTTTGGAGAAGCCGAGGAGCGCTACGAGCTCGTCGCGGGAGTCGGCGCGGAAGAGCGTTTGGAGCGCCTTCCAGTTGGCTGCATCGTCGCTGGCTGCTTGCTGAGATCGCTCGTTGCAGAAGTCGGCGAGGGACTGTGAGTCAAGCGCTTCCTGCAGTCGCTTGGCGCGCGAGACGATCGAGGGTTCCGTGACAACCTCGCGCAGGTGCACCGTGGGTGCTGCGCCGGCTTTGCTGTTGACAGAGACAAGCTGGCCGCCGAAGCCAAAGGTGGCAGATACGGGCCGCTTGAGCCACTTGGGCGGTTGACGTACGGTCGTCTGCTTGGACGACGTGGGTGCGGCGCTGGGCAGGTTGAAGATGTCTGAGCCATCTGCTGCGGGGGCTGGGGGTTGCGATGCGTCGTCCTCGCTCTGATTGGTGGCTTGGAGGGAATGGATGCCGATCTGCCCGTCGAAGCTGGCTGTTGCGAGGAGGGAAGGGTTGCGAGGGCACCACTGCGTGTCGAAGGACCAGTTGGACGATGAGGGCTGGTGCAGGGCGCGAGATTAGCGGGGGGAAAGAAGCAGGTCAGCCTCAACTCTCAGTGCATCTCGGTATCTCGGCATCTCGCGGCGCTGGCTCACCATCTCTCCAATGACTTCGCAGCTCTGCGGGTTCCACACGAGGGTACGATTGTCCTTTCCACACGACACGAGGAGATCAGCATCCTGCTTGCACCACGAGAGGGAGAGGACTCCCTTGTCATGGCCGGTGAGAATCTTTTCTGGCGCTCGAGCGTTGCGCAGATCCCAGAGCATGATGATCGGGGAGGAGTCCTGGCGAAGCGAGACAAAGGAGATGGAGACAGGTCAGTCAGGGAGGCTCGCAGAGATGGAATGTGGCCTGCTGGAGGCCACACCGCGCCGCGTACTCACGTCTTCTGAAGCGGTCACTAGACGCGTGCTAACATCGGGATGCCAAGCAACGGCTCCCATCCCCCTCCTCCCACCAGCAGCGAGCGCTCCATTCGCTCCTCCAATGTTACCGCCACCAAGCGCGGTGCCCGCTCCACCACCGTAGGCCAATGCGCACACTTCGCGCTTATTCTTGAGATCCCACACGACGGTGTAACCGGACGAGGACGAGGTGGCCAGAATGTGCGGCACCTGCCCGTTCCACTGCAGCGAAGTTATCTCGTCGAGCTTCTGCGATTTGGCCCCGGGAGAGTAGGGCTTGGTGGGGTTTGTGAGGTCCTGAAGCGGGGCGTGTGAAGGGTTCCAGTATTAGCGGGGGGTCCTCGTCTACGTTGCGATCGCTCTATGCTCACCCAGATGTAGATCTCTGCATTGACGGCGCCCGAAGCAAGCAAGTTGGCCTGATTCGAATTAAAATCGAGGCCCCTCACGGGTCCCGTATGCGTCGTATTCTTGAGAATCTGCGACTGTGCTTCCCCGCCGCCCCCGTTGATGATCTTGTCTGCGTCCCAAACGGCAAGTTGGCCATTCTCCAATCCACCAGCGAGCAGACCCTTCGGGTGGTTAGGATGAACATAACCCCATGCTAGGCGATTGAGCTTCGCGCTCGTAGTGGTTGTGGCTACGGGGGCGTCACGGCGGGAAAAGGGCTGCCATATCTCGAGGACAGAGTCGTTGCTGAAGGACTCGTCGAGAGCGCCCGCTACTGTTCCTGTGACGATGTAGGGCTCGGCCGCTGAGAGGGAGGCAGGGGACCAGGAGAAGGTGGCCGTGCGCGGAATCGAGGCCTTCATCAGCGAAGGAGCGAAAGCGACTTCGCGGCGCCTGCGTCTGCGTCTACGACTATGCTAAGAAGACGACGTGGATTCTCCCTCGCGAGATGGCGAGGCGTGCGTGCGTGCGTGCGTATATACGGCTGCAGCGAGGATGATGAGAGAGAGAGAGAAGGGCGAGCGAGATGGGTTGGCGAGTGTAATTGCTCGCTCTGAGTGTAGTGGCTGCCGTCTCTCGTTAATCGTCGTGGAGCGTAGGGTAGGATTGGACGGGAAGAAAGGTTGGCTGGCTGCGTGCGCGTCTGTTGAGCGTCGAGTCGTTGTGGGTGGCTCCTGCGCTCGTCGTCCCGCGAGCTGGCAGACACGTCGACGCATCTCTCAGCCTCAGCCTCAACCCTCGCCCGCCTCCGCTCAGCCCCGCCCCGCTACTCTCCTCCCGATCCGATT